TGTCTGCTTCGCCTTACTCACCACTTTTTCCAAGTGCGCATTCCAGGTAAGCTTATTATCCAGTATCACTCCTAGATATTTTACTTCCCTGGAACATGTAATGCCCCTCTCCCCTATTATAGGTTCAGAGAGTCCAGTTAAATTTCTTCTCCTGGTGAAGGGTACTACGACCGTTTTGTCAGGGTTTACTGACAGTGCCTGCCCCTTATACCAGTCATCTATCCATTTCAAAGCCTCTTTCATGAGTTCTGAAACGATAATATTATGTTTCCCGACTATGAGAACGACCAAGTCGTCCGCATAGCCTTGTGTATAAAATCCCTTTCGATTAAGGCCCTCCAGTGCACCGTCCACCACTAATCTCCATAACAGGGGAGACAGTACGCCTCCCTGGGGGCAGCCCCGGCCTACCTTACACCTGGATGTTTCTCCCGAAAGGGTAGCTGTTACTGTCCGGTTTCTCAACATGGTATCTATCCAACGACACAAAGTGTCATCAAGGCCCCTGTTGCGAACTGCCGAATTAATAAATTCGAAAGGTGTATCATCAAATGCCCCCTCAATATCTAAAAAAGCTGCCAAAGCTAGATCTTGGACTTGATTGGACTAGTAGAGGAATCCAAAATATGGTGATTTAACGCAACTCACACTGCATACCTTTGGTTTTTCTATAACGAGAAATTGATTTTTTTTTAAATTTGAAACCACAGTTTCAAGGCCTATAACTTCTCAGGAGTGCAACTTAGTATAAAGGTAAATTGCGTTAAATCACCATATTTTGGGTTACCCTACATGCCTCTGCTCTGTGTCGGTTCCTATGCAATACACCCTGTATATTCAGAGTTAAACAACTAATCACTGATTTATGGTATAACTAATAGTGATGGGGATTTTTTAAGGGACTCGCCATTTGTATTTCGATTCTTAAGTTTCATTTGTTGTCCAACCACAAATATAAAAACAAGATTGTAACATTTGGTTGTAAAAGTGTTATGTTAAACCTGTTGGATTAATATCTCGTCAATCAGTTATAAATCAATTTCAATATAGCAATACTAGTTTTTAATTCATCACTTTAGGATATCGAGGAGACGTTCGCACAATTCAAGGCGCACAATGAGAGCAAGAACATATTCAAATCGGCCAGGACACCGGCCGTGTTCTTCGCCCTGGCCGTACTGTTCTACATCACTTCCGGTATATTCGGATTCATCGGCATCTACTCGTTAGCGAATATCTGCAACGTGGGCATGGCGTTGGCTTTCGTCACTTTGGGAACGTGGTCCTACGTCAGGTGAGTCCGAGCGGAAGCGACGTCGTTTTTTATGAACGTTCGATCTATGTTTTATCTTTTTTATTCGCGTGCGTAGGTACAGCGGGGAAATGCGCGAAGTCGGATCTTACATAGACGAGACGGCGAACTTCATTTGGGAGAACGTAAGTATATTTTCGCTTTTCTTAGTGTGTCGATAATAATACTAAAAATCTCGGATGTAATTTGTGAAGATTGGCGTTAGCGCTCTTCTTTGTAAACGCTAAACGTTTTAACTTATCTGTAACAAACTAATAACGAGACTCCCCTTTCTAGCATGCCTATTTCAAAAAAAGAAAGCTAAGAAAGCAGCGTATGTATTCAACAAGTACCTATTCTTGCATGTTTTTTGAAAATTTATTATCGTTAAAACCTGTTTTACATTTACCGATTTTTGTCCCAATAAACCGTTCAGGGAATTGCGAGTGGAATTGTTGTTTTTGCTAATATATTTGCGGCATTTTTTTACACGGAATAATAAATTGGCCAATTTATTGGTCAAATTTAAGGCCACCAGCATATAAAATAAAAATCAATCATTCGCTAGAAAATTAGCAACAATTTATTGTGTATTACATAATTTGGATAATTTTCTTAGGAAATTTTGACCTAAAATCAAGAAATTGGCCAAAATGGAATATAAAAATTGTAGTACATTTCCTAACTTCAATAAATTGGCCAACAAATTGGAGACAATGAAATTGGTTGCAATGTATTAGGAATTGGGACAATTTTTTCATAAACCTTTAACCAAACAAGAATCAAGAAATTAGAGACTGGTTGCAATTTATTAGCAACTTGGCCAATTTTTTTGGTTGACTTTTGACCCACTATCTTGATATTAACCTAATTGACCTAATTTCTTGAAATTGATCAATATGTATTACAAAAATTGTGGTAAAGTTCCTAACTTCAATAAATTGCCCAACATACTGGAGACAATGGAATTGGTTGCAATTTGTTGACCAATTTTTTGACCTTTAGTGACAATATATATGAAATAGGGGCAATTTCAGTGACACTCAACTATTATTTTAAATATTCATGTTACGTGGTATGTGTTTTTCTTGCGGTTATGTTAATCTGGTTCATATGTTTATCTCGGTACCCTAAAATTTGATCAATAAATTGGCCAATTTGTTGTAACTTGCAAAAAGTGCCACGATCATAACGAGTTGCGACAATAACTTGTCCAATTTCTTGAACAACTTATTGGGTCAAGAAATTGGTAAATGTAAAACAGGCTAAACGGCACATTATTTGCATGCATCATCGATCAGCAATTTTTTGTGTAGTGTAACTTGTACAAGCTATTTGTGTCCGTGGAGATATTTCTCCAAGTTTTTTTTTTAAAGAAAAAAAACTTGCAGAAACATCAGCAGTCGTAGTTTTAGAATAAATTAAATACTGTGCACCTAAAAATTATTTTTTTTTTTTTTTTTCATCTGTTAATGGAAGAGAAAATTTTGTTTCACGTGTATACAGTGTCCCAAAAGGAACTACTTATATTTTGAGGGTACATTCTTCAGATGAAAGTAGACATATAGGTTCGTTAAATCTAATAAAAAAAAAAGTTCAATTTTTCAAGAACACGTAATTATAGCTTCGTAAAATTTATTGTAACATAACAGCAACGACTTCTTCTAAATACTTTTTTAATACAATTGCTTTCAAAGTAAATTACATGTTTGCAATTTTTTTTTTTTTCGCAAAAAAAATGGCGGTTTTGCCAATCGGTTTTGATTAATGGGTTAACAGTAATAACAAAATCTGAATAAATATAAAAAAATAAACGAACAAACAAAAAAATTGTAAACACAACTTAACATTGTTATACACTAATGCAAACAATTAAAGGGTCAAAAGAGTTTCCGAAATTTTTCCGTGATTTTTGACAGACTGTATTTAAGTGAAAAATGGTCATATCGGGAATTTAAAAAAAAACATCAGATTTCGATGAAAAATTGTCGTATCGAAATTTAAAATAAAGGAAATTGAAGCTGAAAAAACAAGCTATCGGGTCCATGCAATGGCTTAGCTGAAAAAAAAATGTCCAAGTCCGTGGACCCAGAAAATAAAAATAAAAAATTTGCAAAATTTTTTTGTCGCGTTATTTCTTAGAATTGCATGATAACTGTAGCACCTAAAAAATTTTGACCGAAAGATCTAAAAACTAGAATCTTAGAGCTTCAAATTGCTTTTTTTAATTCCCGATACGACCATTTTTCACCTAAATATAGTCTGTCAAAAATCACGGAAAAATTTCGGAAATTCTTTTTACCCTTTAATTGTTTGCATTAGTGTAGTACAAATAAATTTAAAAAAACATAACGTAGGAAGTTTTCACAATTTTTTTCCAAAAATGTGTTGTTTTAACTAAATATTCAGAGATACATATTTCGAAAATATTTAGAAAAACTTGAAGACCTATATCTCGTAAACGATCAAGGTTTATACAAACTGCTCTGTTTATTTTTACCTGAAGAATTTTCCCTTTAAAGTTTATAAAATTTTTTTGATGAACACCCTGTTTTATCTTATTTATTTTTTATCATACACACATAAATAATAAGTTCTGACACAAAATTCTCTTCAGTAATGGCAAAAATTTTCTTACTTAAGTCGAATTCGGACTTAAAAGTACTCACACTATGTTACTCAAGCATTCAGTGTAGAGCACTTTTTCCATTACGTGAACTAGAACTCTGTTGGATTAGGTAGTATTTTTTTGTATCCTTTATAACCTTAAAATTTAAAAAATCATCGTGGTTGTGAAAGGAATTTTGTTAAATTAGCCGTCTTTTCTGTGAGAAAATTCAAATTGTTGCATGCTGGCTTAAAAAAGCGAGACGAGTACCCTCAGGTCCGAACCCGACTCGAGTAGCCGTTTGTTCGCTTTAAATGTCGACTTAACGTTACGGAGAAAAGGGTTTTACGATTTGCGATGATCATTTCAGTTAATGAAGACCGTAGTACAAGGCTTCGTCGAAACCGGTATGCAGCAAATGGCTGCCGAAGTAGCTGAGAGGACGGTGGTGAACGCGACCAAAATGGCGGTGAACGGCAAAAAAATTGCGTGATATGCTAAGGTCGTCTAGTCTGCCATAATCTAATGCATAAATTCCCTAATGGCTAGTACTATGTTACATATATCTCCGGTAAATTGTCTAAAAAATTTTTTAATGTATATTGTATAGATTGGATTGTTAAGTCTTGCCAACGTTCATTTTTTAAATGTTGTACAGATTTGTATATATATGTAACATCATTTATTATATTATGTGATATCTTGGCAATGTTGGTATTATATTAGGACTTTTATTTATTTTTTACACTTCCTTTTTAATGTACTTCTTATATTTATTAATCTGTGCGGATCATGACAAAAAAAAACAAACTTAATAAAGAAAAAATGCATTTAATACGGCTTGTAATAATTTTAGGTATACCTACTACTAACGTACGACTAACGTGTATTTAGGTCACTTTTAACGTAGTATTAAATCAAACTAGGGCTTGCATATAGCTTTAGCTGGATTGTGTGATTTTACATAATTTGTTTGTTTACTTTACGAATAATTTTCTCAAATGGAACATCGGTTTAAAAATTGTTGTTGGTCACGTGTAAATTATTTTTTAAATTCAGTTTGTGTGCAAGGTGGTGATTTCGATGTGGTTCAGGAGGTTCATTGTATTCCCCAAGCAGATAGACAAAAAGTAGTTCAAACGTCTCAGACTTGAATTTCGAGAAAAATTGAATAATGAAAAATCCACCTCGATATCTTAATTTTTTTGTAAAAGATGCAAATATTGCTTTTTTTATTTTTGCTTTTTAGTGAAAGAAATAGCTTTTAATTGTGAAAAACTTTTAATTTCTTTTGTAGAATTTTTTATTCAGTTTTTTATGTAAACGCAACAGCACTTTTATTTAATTTTTTAACTGCATAAAATTATCTCCAAAAAAAATTTACACAATATTTCTACATAAAAAAAATTGTCCGGGCGTTTTATTTAAAAAATTTTGTATGAGTTGTAAGTGAAACATAGGAAGTTGTAGAGAAATCAGTACGGTGTGAATTTTATTTAAAAAAGCAAGGGAGCATCTATACAAAAGTAAAAAAATGTTCACAAATATAAATGTTTTTCGGCATCACAAAAACACATTTGCATAAAATTTCCTATTGATGTACACAATTTCTTTTATATAAATATCATTTGGAGACAAAAAAATTGTGGTTTTTTGTTTAAAAAAAATATATTATTTTGGGTTGTAAGTTATAGAAAAATCAGTAGTTACTGAATTCTAAGAAAAAAAAAACAAATAGAAAGCCTCTACAAAAGTAAAAAAAATCACAAAGTTATTCAGCATGACAAAAGCACTATCAAAAATGAAAAAACACCCTTTTCACTTAAACCAACCAAAATTGTTCAATTTTTCGCGAAAATGAAGCCTGGGACATTTGAACTACTTTTGATTTAACTTTTTGCGAAATACAAAATACTTCGTAATAAGTATCGAATTTGCCCCAATCTGTACATTTTTGAATGTATAGTTGTATTTTCCCCTGATATCTATATTGGAAATGCTTTTGGTAAAATTAAATTGACTGATGACTTCACGTTTGTGAGGGTTTATTCGAAATGCTGTCCAAAAATAAGTGAAAACCACATAATGTTCGAAACGTCCTTATTTCAGTTTCATTCAGTTTGCTTTATTTTCTAAATTGAAGTTTCATTTTCAATTCAAATCATTTTTAAACTTGAAAAAAAAAACGTCTAATGAGGTCTGAAGAAGAGGCTGGCAATCTTTGTCCTCATTTGCGATCTTTTTTAGTGTATTGGCGATTTATATTTGGAGATTCCCTGTTTATGCATAACCTTTTCATGAACGTACACTACAATATTTAAATCCGACGCACCACTTGCTTTCTACATATAAAATACGAGAAATGTAACTAATACCTAAGGATATATTAGTATAGTAACATTTACTGATATCAAGATCTGAGTGTTTTAACCTTATTTTGGACAGTTGGTGTTTTGTTCCGATAAGTATAATTACGATTAAGAAGTACTGACATTGCAATATAATTACACCCAAGTGCCTCAAGTTAAATAGTTTAAAATTCGTTGTTAATTTTTGTCTCGTCATGTCATGTCCTTTTCTAGGTTGTTAATATTAGGAGGTTAGTCGATAGAGTAAAAAAAAAGTAATACTGATGTAGCTTTTTAGAGGATTAATGTTAAGTGAATGGTTTTAATTAACATCTTTTATAAGATTAAGTTAAGCTAGACAAGGAAACTTATCAAGATCTTGAGCTATTTTTAGGCTGAATCAACAAGTTGGTGGTGTTAAGCTCAATTTTTTTTATGTTAAATGTTCTGAAAGCTGTATAATTGGTTTTGGTAATAAAAATTATTTTTATATGATTATTTTATTTAGTCCCGTATGTAAAAATTTTATAGGAAATGAAAATAAAATTAATTTTATTCTTGTAACCTTTATTGCAAATATAATTAAAACAGCAGTACGTAACCATTATTTTTACATTGTAAAAAGCTTGAGCGAGATAAAATATTGGCATATCATTGCATCGGATTTAACACACTAAAACTACAAAAAAACTTATTTGCAGTTTAGAGATCTGTATAACCAAATTTGGTTCACCCTGTATATAAGTATAATGACAGTTGAAAAGTTGAGACTAAATTGGAAAAAAAAAATGTTTCAATAATTTTCGCTTCTCTAAAAATTAAATATAGTCAATTTTTAATTTAGAAAACGACGTTTTCATTGGCCAAAACAAGAAATGTTTTTAAAAAATACGGGGATTTATTGGCTAAATTCTAATAGCTTTTATTTTGACAAAATTAAAATAATTGCTATATCCAAATAGCTAATATTTGAAACAAAATGAAAAAATACTCTGTATTTTTCAATTTTTTTTTAAGGATCGTAATGACTTTTAACATAAGCTCCTTGCATATTTTTTAACTGCAATAGTTTTATTACTATTAATGGAGTCAATTTTAATTCCTACCTAAGTTCTTAATAATTTGACCGGAAAAATAAATAAGAAATAATATTTGCTGATTTTGTATAGTACTATTAATTGACGTTGCTAGAATTTAGCAAAAAATTTCACATATTTTTGAAAAACGCATTTTTTATATTTTTACCGATTGAAATGATATTTTCTCATAATTAGAAGAATTATTGTATTTTTATATTGCCACTATTTGGTTTCTGACAAAAATTATTAGAAGAAAAAGTTTTCTAGAATCATAAATAAAAATGTTCCATCTTAAAAAACAAATAAATTCAAATGAAAAAATGGACAAATTTTTATGGTTACTCGAAAGAAATTTCATTGCATACAGTTATAGACATTCACTATTTAGCAAGCGCACTATACCATACCGGGTGTTTAAGATATCAAGAAAACTTCCCTTATACACGGTGTCCCGAAATTCATGCAACAAAATGTGGTCATAGATTCTTAAGACAAATTTAGGGGACCCGTATTTTTTCTTTTTGCCAACTGGCCCCCTCTTTCGGAGTTACAGCCCCCTGAAATCTGCCCCTAGAAGTATTTTTTTATTTCTCAAAACCATGTTGTACGAGAATCACTAAATTTGGTACACAGGGGTTTTATGACATGTGGAATCTTACAGTGCTACGCTTTTTGGTGAGAAACCCCCTTAAGACACTTTTTCATGGGCCCCCTTGTATTTGGAACCAGAAAAATTTGGTCACAATTTCATTTTTTTTAATTATTATTAGTTAGCTAGAAAGCCATTGAATTTAGAAATTATTTTGTCTCTTGATATTTGTTCCGTAGAACGCAATGTTTTTGAGGAAAATGGCGAATCACGATATGCATTTGATCACATTTTGACATTTGCGTTTACGAAAAAAGTATAAAGAGACAAACAGTTTCTAAATTTAATGGCTTTCTAGTGGACTGATAATTTTTAAGACATTTAAAAATGCGATCAATTTTTTTTGGCTCTAAAGACAGGGGAGCCCACAAAAAATTGTCTTAAGGGGGTTCCCCGCCAAAAAACGTTGCACCATCAGATTCCACATGTCATAAAACCCCTGTGTACCAAATTTAGTGATTCTCGTACAACACGGTTCTGATATAAAAAAAAGATTATTCTTAGAGGCGGACTTCAGGGGACTGTAACTCCGAAAGAGGGGGCCACTTGGCAAAAATAAAAAATATGGGTCTCCTGAATTTATCCTAAGAATCTGTGACCAAATTTCGTTGTGTGAATTTCGGGACGCCCTGTATACAGGGTGTTTATTAAGTACTTGTACAAACTCTAAAGGTGAATCTTTGACTAATTTTAAGATAAAAAGTTCATATAAACATGGGTTCGCAACGGCTTTGTTCTTGAAATATTCCGTCCAAAAAAAATTTTTTTTTGGTTTCAAGAACCAAGCCGTTGTGGACCCATGTTTATATTAACTTTTTATCTTAAAATTAGTCAAAGATTCGCCCTTTGAAGTTTGTACAAGTATTTAATAACCACCCTGTATATGCTGAAAATTTAAATTTAAATAAAAATTTCTAGCTTGAGATCAGATTAGTCGTGTGCGAGTAAATCAACTTTGAAATTGGGGCTCATCGTTAATGATGCATTTAATTTTTTGCAAAGTATATATGTACAACCATATTGCAAAATGTCTCGACAATTTTACAATCTGGCTTGGACATACACAAATTTGATAATTTTTATATCTCTTCCGGCTTAAAAACAAACAATCTAAAACAAATTCCAAACGATATCCACCTTTATTTAGCATTACGATTAATAATTACTGGAATGAATGTATCAAAAAGCACTACGTTTATGCGCCGAACATTTTCTTCATAATATTATTCACTTTAATTTCGGCCTGTCTCAACTCGTCCCTAACGTAATCTAAGTGTTCGGCGCATGCTTTGTTCCCAGGCTCAAGCTCCAAAACCCTACAGAACGCCTTCTTAGCCTTTTCGAAGTCCCTGTCGTTCTGGTAAGCCACTCCAATTTTATACAGAGCTTTAACGTTATTGGGATCGTAAGCAAACACCTTCGTACACAGATCTATGACTTTCATCCACGACTGATTCCTGAAGTAACACGAAGACAGGTTGTTGAATAAGTTGGCTTTTAATTTGTTTATATCGGACAATGGTATGCCGTCTATGACGTCTGGGGGTTCTTCGATGTCTACCGGGATAGAAGAGAGCACCTTCAAGGCTTTCGTGAACCTGAAAGCTGCGTCTCTGCCGTTCTTGTTCTTGAATAAGTCGTTGCCTTTTTCTTTATGATGCAAGGCCATGTTATATTTTTTTGAAACGTCCCATTGGAAAATAAAACCATCAAACGCTAGATCTATGAGTTCTAAAATTAAAGTAATCGTGCTATCGTGTAAATTTAACGAGAATTTAGATTTTTCTCCTACAAACATGGTGCCTAAACATATATCTAAAGCCCTCCATAAGTCACCATCGTTATCACCGACGGTCACGACGGTATTAGTAAATTCCTCCAGGAAAGGACTATCGGTTATAGTAATCGTACATCGACTTCCCTCCGATGGTTTGTCGCCCCATTTCCCCTCCTGTAAAATGTCTTTTTGGATCTTACCGTCGGGGGACGTCCAAGTGACCATTTTACTTCTACTAACACTCAGATTCCGTAGTGAACCAATCGGAGAGGATCTCTAATGTTAACTCGTAGTACTCTTTTGCGATTTTATCATTCGCTGCAATAGGACTGGGAAGAACGAGTTTGCAATCGCTGTAGTACTGCCCCGTCGATCTATTTGACGTTAGGAGGCAATGCAAAACCGTTTGTGCCCCTTGCTTTGGACTCTTCACTACAAGGCAACGGATTGGCCACTGGAGAGCGTACAACCAGGGATTACTCAAAGGTGGAAAGTTCCGAAAAATTTTGGTCTCGACGTTTCCGGGATTAGCAGAATTCACTATAACGTTTGTATCTAAAATATTTAAAACAAAGTTAAATATGTGTTGTTTAACATACAAAAAATATACTTACTTGACAATTTTTTTGACAGTTCCTTTGTGAAAAGAACTAGTGCAAGTTTTGACACACCATATGCGACAAAGTGTGACCTAAATTCATTCTGACATTTAGTTACTGCTTTCAAATCATAGATATTCACATTTCTGTGTGCCTCGGATGAAAGGTTAATAATACGTGCATGCACGGATTTCTTAAGTAAATTAAGCAAATGGTGAGTTAGAATAAAATGGCCTGTAATTTGTGGAAATTATTAAATTCGTTTCATTCCATATTTTAAGCTTACCTAAATAATTTGTTTGCAGAGTGATCTCATACCCATCCTTTGTTAAACCTTGTGGGTGATAAAAAACTCCTGCATTGTTTACCAAACCGTATATTTCACTAAACTCATTATTCAGAGTATCTGAAAACTTGACAATGCTAGAAATGTTGCACAAATCCAAATGCTTAACAAAAATTTTTATATTCTTATTTTTGAGCTGCGAGAGAATGTACGTTTTTGCATTTAATCCTTTTTCCACATCTCTACAAGCAAGCACGAGTGTAGCACCTAAAATATTCAGTTCAAAACGTTGTACACAATTTATTGTCATGACTTAATACCTCTTTGAGCTAATTCTAATGCAAGCGCCTTTCCTATACCTGAACTTGCTCCGGTTATTACAATGACAAGACCATCTAACCTTGTGGTGCAATGGCAGACTCCTCCAGCAAAATATTTACTGAAGAAAATAATGTATATCTAATGTATAAAGTAAGAAATTTCAACTTACATTAAAGTGTATGCAACGGAACCTACAATTATTGTCCCAGCAATACATTTCCACATTATTAAACAAAAGAATCAGTATAAGTACCTCTTTTTATTGTTACTTTTAAAACAAGGAAAACGCAAATGTACCGTTTTCTTGTAAATTTTCACAAAAACATTTTTTGATGGAATTTTTCTCTTCCAAGATAAATAAAAATTATTCCATAAATTCTGTCACCAATGATTTATGATTAGTAAGAGAAGAAGTAGAAGATATATATGCAAATTTAGACCTACCACAAGCTTAGGATCTCATGGTCTCAAATTTCCGCATGTCAAATTTTGTAAACACACTGATAAATGAAGAAGACGAGTAACAATTTTTCTACCCAACCTAGCTTCACGCTTATATTTTCCCGCGATTTTATTTTATGTGAAGAACTGTATTGTATTTTACTATTTTCATTTTATTAATTTTCACTTGTATATATAAAATATTTTAATTCAGGTAAATAAATATGAGCCATTTATATTTACAAATTAAACTGTTTATTTTTATAGCATGCCTTCTCCAACTGGAAGAGAGACCCCACGAACCCCTCATCAAAGAGGTGACGGTTCAGAGACACCCGCAAGAGACGAGGTACCAGAAACGCCAACTACTGGAACCCCTAGTAGAAGAAGAGCTCAAACCCCAAGACAGGATGTATCTCCAGCGAAAAGTGTAGCTTCTTCGACCAGAACTCCTAGAAAGAGAGCTGCTACGCCTGCAAAAAGTGTCACCTCTTCTGTTGACACTCCTATGCGATGGGGTGCACCCAGAAGAGATGTAGACGCTTTGAGTGAGATACCACCGTCCCCTGCACATAGTTTAGCACCAACTAGTCCTGGTACAGGTTAGTAACTTTATTTCCATATCAAATACAATGTTTCATGTAATTGTGTCGTTTTAGCCCTGGCCATAAGTGAAATTGACTTGAGTTCTCCTCTAAACTATGGCACGCCGAGTTCGTTAGGTTCCATTCGGACCCCGAGGTCTGGTATAAGAGGCACTCCTATTCGAATGAGGCCCGATGTAAGATCTGATAAGAGAATTCGACAGGTTAATGTTGGCGCTGATGCTGCGGTAAGTCAAAAGATTGAAAAACATCTTATTTGGCTATATTTATATGTTTATTTCTATTTTTGTGTCATATAAAGAATTGTATATACTGATAATAGAGTACATCAATCTATTTAAGTTTGAAACAGCGTATGTCCATAAAATTAGAAATACGGTACAAAAGAAGCAAGAGTAAATCGCAGATCTGTTGTTAATCAGTGTGAACCGGTAAAAGTATCTCTTTGACGTTATTTTGCTGATTTTCTCTAATATGTCTAGAGGCCATTTGTCAGAAATCCCTTCCTTTTAGAAAAAAGGATATTAGTAAATAGTGTAGAAAGAGTAAAAGCGATAATTACCTTAACTGGCTTTAAATTTGATATTGCCTTCCTGCAAAGAGGGCACGTGTTATTCCAAGAAGGTTTTTTCCAGTAAGTGTACAGACAATCTAAGCAAAATCCGTGGCCACAATCCGATTTAATAGGTGTAGTAAATCCGTTGAAGCATATGGGACAATCGGTGTTATATATAAAATCTGTACCTGCAATGAATTTTATATTTTGTTTATATATTTATAAAGTCACATACCGATGCTAGGTGCAAGCTTTTTCTTCCTTAAAGACCTTATCATTACATAGATGAAGACCACCGTCACATAAAGACAAATTTGGTTGTACAACGTTACTAAATTTTCTATTTTTTCAATTCTCTGTTGGTCCATATCAGTTAATACATAACAAAAATAAAAATTAACAATTGGGAAAACTTATTAATGCAGTCATTTTGACTTTGACGGAAGTTAATTTTCATTTCAGAGTTTGCCAAGTTTTTGACAAAAGTTTAAATGAGAAATACTTTGTACATTCGTTAATTAATTAAAATTGAAACGCGTTTAATAACAATTTGGTTCTTTAACTACTTACAGCTTGAGGCAATACCAGAAAGTCAAGAATCAGATTCTACCGCACCGCATTTAGTGATCTGGGGCACGAATGTCTCTGTAGCTGAATGCAAAGAGAAATTCAAGCAGTTCATCCTGCGGTTCATAGATCCAAATGCCGACGTTGATGAAAGAACTGACGATATGAATCTCAATGAACCTCTTTACTTACAAAAGCTAGAAGAAGTAAGGATATTGTATTTGAAATGAACGATTAAGCTAATAATTGCTTCTTTTAGATTCATACCTTGGAGGAACCGTTCTTAAACGTAAATTGCGCCCATATAGAAACGTACGATGCCAATTTATACAGGCAATTGGTTTGTTATCCGCAGGAAGTTATACCTACGTTCGATATGACAGTCAATGAGATGTTTTATGAACGTTACCCCGCTGCCGTGTTGGAACATCAAATCCAAGTTCGTCCTTTCAATGCTGAGAAAACTAGAAACATGAGGTCCTTAAACCCGGAAGGTACGCCGTAGCTAAGGATGAATTCTGGTTGATATTTATCAACGTTTGTTTTAGATATCGACCAACTTATAACGATTTGCGGTATGGTGATTCGCTCATCCAATATAATGCCGGAGATGAGGGAAGCTTTTTTCAAATGCATCGTTTGCCAATTTACAACGACGGCAGAGATCGACAGGGGTCGTATCACCGAACCGACTTTGTGCTCCAGCTGTAATACCAATTACTGTTTTACGTTGGTGCATAACAGGTCCCAATTTACCGATAAGCAGATGATAAAGTTGCAGGAGTCTCCAGGTAAATGATTTACAATCTACAATCACGTTTGACTGTCATTTGCGATTAGTAGCAATTACTTTTCAATAAAGCCTGGAATGATTTTTAAAATTACAGTTCTCCGATTTCTAGTATACAATTTTATAAATCAGACTCCCACACCCCGTGTAATAATCAAGTTTAAAAATAAAAATACTAGATGGTGACTTTGTCGTAAAACGCCTGTCATCTTTATACTGTGAACAACAGTGACGGCTACTTTATTGGAGAGTAGTATTTTTATTCCGAATTTTGATGAAGTCATCTGACCGTATAAATAACTATGAAATCTGTTAAAGATGATATGCCGGCTGGCCAAACTCCGCACACCGTGGTTCTGTTTGCTCACAATGATTTAGTCGACGCTGTTCAACCCGGCGACCGTGTCACCGTGACTGGTATTTACAGAGCCCAACCCATGCAGGTGAATCCACGCATGAGGAATATCCGTTCGGTGTACAAGACGCACATAGACGTGTTACATTTCCGAAAAATCGACCATAAGAGGCTCTACAAGGAAGAAGACGGGTAAATTGTAACTCCCATCGTAAACGATATTTGTCGGTTACCTTGTTTCTGTTTTTTTTCTCAGTAAGGACCACCTTTTCACTCCTCAAAGGCTGAAATTGATGGAAGAACTTGCAAAGCTGCCCGACGTCTACGATAGACTGGCCAGGGCGCTGGCACCTTCTATTTACGAGAACGAGGACGTTAAGAAAGGAATATTGTTGCAGTTATTCGGGGGCACCAAGAAGACTTTCGTTTCGTCCGGCCGATCAAATTTCAGGGCAGAAATAAATATTTTGCTGTGCGGTGACCCGGGTAAGACGTAAGAGCTCTAGTTAATATAAAAATACGTTTTAATGTTGATTTTAGGCACCTCGAAGTCTCAGTTGCTGCAATACGTCTACAATTTAGTACCGAGAAGCCAGTACACGTCTGGAAAGGGCTCCTCAGCGGTTGGCCTGACCGCCTACGTTACTAAAGATCCCGAAACCAGACAGCTCGTCCTCCAAACCGGCGCTCTGGTTCTAGCTGACAACGGCATATGTTGCATCGACGAGTTCGACAAGATGAACGATTCCACTCGTAGCGTTCTTCACGAGGTAAGTAAATTGCGTGGGAGCGAGGTTTTGTTGGTAAAATTGTGCTCCTTTTCAGGTTATGGAACAACAGACTCTCAGTATCGCCAAGGCCGGTATTATCTGTCAATTAAATGCGAGAACTTCTATTTTAGCCGGCGCCAATCCAAGCGAGTCGCAGTGGAACAAAAATAAAACTATCATAGAAAACGTGCAGTTGCCGCATACTTTGCTGTCGAGGTAAGTTAAAGCGTAAGGGTCATCCGTTTTTTGAGAGCCGCCAATCAGATCTTGGAATTTGATGACGACTAACTCGCCAAGAAGAATTTTAACTTGTCTTTATTCTGTTTAAAGTTATCGATAAAAGAAAATCAAAAATTTTTTTTTTCACATGGACATTATATTAGTTTGAATTTTTGGATTCAGCACATTATTCTGATTACAGTAATGTGTGATATGATCTAGTTACGTTTTTTTTCATCAAAACATCAAATTATCCATTTTTACAAAGAGTGCTTTAAAAAGAGAACATCCAAGTTGCTTTAAGCGAAATTTTGACAGTTTAGTTTAATTTGAATCGATAGTGTTCAGATAAATAAAATTGCAATTTTATCATCACACGAAGTCAGATATTCTTGAAATTTATTAATAAATAAGTATGTCTCAGTCTTCTTTGTGTAGATTGTATTTTTAGTTGTTTAAACTTTGACGTCAATGAAAATTTAACTGAACTGTCAAAAGTTCGTAGAAAGTAAGAGTTGTGTTTTGTTTTCAAAGCACTCTTTGTAAAAATTGGATAACTTGGTATTTTGACAAAAATGGAAAAGTAAAGACAAAATCATTGTAAAATCAGTTTGGAAAACTGGGAAAACCTGGAATTCTCAGAGAATTTCACAGATCTGCAATTATCATGGAATTTCTCCATAAGAATTTTAAAAAATTCGAATCGTAATTGGTCTTTATTTATAATTTAATACTAATGGATGTCATGATTATTTATTATAAATCTAGAGAAAAAAAAAATTGAATTTTGTGAATATGAAGTGGTGGGTTTTTAATTTTGAAGAAAGAGTTATTCTAATATCTATTTATTTTGTTAAAATTTAAATTACGTTTCAACATACATCCAGTATAAAAAAAAATTTGAAAAAATGTCGGTTCTTATTTCTTTTCAATTGTTCTAAATTGTGGTACATTTATTTTTAACTTCTGCTTCTTATGTTTTTTAAATTTGTAAATTTATGTCGATTGAGATCAGGGCCGGGTGAAACAGAGAAGCAGATGTTTCAGAGGGCATTTTAAGACGTGATTATTAACTTTTTATAAATTTCAGAAATCGAAAATTGCACAAAAATCTGAAAAAAACATTTTTTAACCCCGAATGCGTGCTTTGTGTTTTATTAATTATTTAAAAATCAACAAGTTGAGTAAAAATTTCCCTAACATCGTAGTATGTTTAAGGATTTTGTTAACCATTCCTGTGTCTCTGGCCAGTGAAGAACGTTCTTTTTCAAAATTAAAAATTATAAAAAATTATTTACGATCAACCATGGCGCAGGAACGGTTAACAGACTTAGCCAATCTTGCTATCGAGAAAGATATAACAAATAATTTAACACTTTGTAGTTTCTTTTTTGTTTCTATTGAATATTTTTTATTTTTAGTTTTATTGGAATATCTGTTTTATTTTTTATAAGATTTTTCTTATAGTTTCTGTTTGTTTTTTTATTTTTTTTATAACTTTTTATTAATAAATTTGTTGTAACGGTCGGCAAGCAAATATTTGCTTCAGGTGCCAAATATCCTGGCGCCGACCCTGAGTCAGATAATATTTTTGCCAGCCAAAAATTTCATGTTTTTCCAAAATTACGTAAATTTTTACTTATTTAAAAAATAATTACCGAATACATCGTGAAACTTCCAGATTTGATTTGATTTTCCTAATCCTGGATCCGCAAAATGAGTTATTCGACAGGAGGCTGGCGCGGCACTTGGTTTCCCTCTACTACAAAACAAGAAATGAGGAGGAGGACGAAATTCTGGTACGTTAAAGAAAAACAACCTCGTTACTGTTTAAAAATACGATTTATACATTTTAGGACATGTCTATCCTAAGGGACTACATCGCGTACGCAAAGGAACGGGTGCACCCGAAACTAAGCGACGAGGCCGCCCAAAAACTCATCCAGTCCTACGTGGACATGCGTAAGATCGGCTCGGGTCGGGGACAAATAACCGCATACCCCAGACAGCTCGAATCGCTGATTCGCCTTTCGGAGGCACGCGCCAAGGTGCGTTTTTCGCAGACCGTCGAAATCGAAGACGTGGAGGAGGCATACAGGTAATACTTTACGCGAAGTTTCCCAATCTTTCTTTTGAGCCACTGCTGTGTTTTAGGTTGCACCGTGAGGCCTTAAAACAATCCGCCACGGATCCGCTCTCCGGTAAGATCGACGTCGGCATACTGACGACTGGTTTGAGCAGCGCCGCTCGTAAACGTAGGGCGGAATTGGCGCAGTCGGTCAAGAAACTGATAGAGAGCAAGGGGAAGGTTCCCCTCATTAATTATCAGAAGTTGTTTATGGAACTGAAAGAGTCTTCCAATGTGGTGAGTTCCGAATTTCATTTTTCAGTTTTTATTTTTAATGCTTTGTTCAGGGGTTATTTCTCAAATTTAGAGCTTTTTTATGTAATTTTAAAAAATGTATATTTAAACGGAATACACATTTAATATATTTTTAATTGTTTAAAAAAAATAACAAGGAGATTGAACCATCTATTTATTTCTGTGTATTTTTATTCTTTGCTAACGTTTTAGCAGAATTGCAGTTTCCTTTATGACTTTAGAGAAAAACATTACATACAGTAATGACGACAGTGGAACAAGTTGGTAGATAGGATATTATACAACATGTCCACCTAGTGCGCGTAAGTCCAATATCGGTTAATAAAAGATTTTTTTTTCTACAGAGTTGCCTACTTTCCCGAGCTGCACAAAATGAAAACCAACTTAATTTCTTTAAATGGAAACCTATATTTTTTATGGCATTATCGACCCTAAAATATTGACAGTTTTCGAGATAATCGACTTTTCATTTTTTTTTTCTTATGTTTCGTCACAGAGGGCATCTAATGAAATCATAAAATACAGGGTGTTCTATTTGAAAAAGTCGATATTTTTCAAATTTTAAATTATCAGGTTTGGCACGATTTTTTTTGCCTCCTGTATATCGCAGGTCAACTTTTGATACGTTTTTTGAAAGAGCCATCTTCACTCTTCAGTTCCTGAAAAAAAATAATTTCTAGCTGTCATACAATCATAATTATGTCAATTACTAGAAGTGACGAAACAAAAGAAAAAAAAATGAAAAGTCGATTATCTCGATAATTATCAATATTTTAATAGGGAAAGTCCCGTTAATTTTTCACGTAGAATTCGATAATGCCATAAGAAATATAGGTTTCCATTTAAAAAAATTAAGTTGGTACCTGCCCAGGAAAAACTGAACACCCTGTATATGCAAATATATTTTCATTTTGTGCAGCATTTGTGCAGTAGGTAACTCTGTAGAAAAAAAAATTAAGTAATGTCTTTTATTAACCTAGATATTGGACTTACGCGCACTAGGTGGACACATGTGTATAAAAAAACCATAGAACAAAACATTATAATACAGTTTCATACATTGTTTTTATGTATATAAGATCCTTCTCGGCTACTTTTTTGACTGTCGCTTCTAAATATAATTTTATATATAAAGTTTCTATTATCAAAAAAATTAACAAAAGTAAATGAACACAACCACGATATACAGTGGCCAAGAAAAAAAAAACAGGATATTTGTAATATGCAAAAACATGTCTGTCTATCTCATATATTTGAATATTTGTTGCATTGTTGCCAAGACCACTCTACTCAGGAATTTCATTTATATTTACAAGTATTGTCTGAAGTTATTTATATGTGGCACAGTTTTAGTTTTTTTATTTAATGGGTATTTTGGCATCTGTGAATAAATTTAAAAAATTAATTAAATAAACCATAGCGCCAAAAAAATCTGTCAAGGGTTATTTTTATGCAAAATAGTTTTACCTAACCAAAAATATCACATAAAAAAAATCAGACGAGTAGGTACAACATACACATCACTATATGTACAGGGTGTCCCAGAATAACGTGTACAATGGAAGACCACAGATTCTTGAACTCAAAATAGGTAGATTTAGGATAATTCACCTATATTCGAAATCGCTTCGTTTGGCCGCTAGATGGCCTCAAAGTTCCTGAAAATATTTGAATTTTGTAAATAACTCAATTATTTTTCAAATTAAAACTAGTTGTCATTATTGCCCGAGAGAGGAAAAAGTTATGAACGGATATTATCACCATACATCAATTTTGTAAGATTTACAGGTTTTAAAAAACACTCTGTATAACACCAAAATGTGTAAATTGATAGCAAAAGTCCACACCCCAAAAATAATCAAAATCGATTAATACGTATTCGAGTTATTTACAAAATTCAAAAAATTTTCATGAACTTTGAGGCCATCTAGCGGCCAAACGAAGTGATTTCGGATATAGGTGAATTAGCCTAAATCTGCCTATTTTGAGTCCATAAATCTGTGGTCCTCCGTTGTACATGTTATTCTGGGACACTCTATATATTGCCCACTTCAAAAAGTTGTCAACACTTCAAAGATCGTTCTGTTTTTGTCTTCTGAATTTGTAACTACTTTTCGTTTTTAATTATTTTTAACAATTTAAATAAAGGAAAAATATTTACTACTGTTGTACATTTTAAAATGAACTTATGCAACTTTTAAAAAGATAATAATTTTGATGTTTTCGATTCAAAAAATCCAAAGAACTGGTTGTACTCGGGCATATGCCTGTAATTAATATATTTCAAGACCTGCTTATATTTTGAGTGTGCAACGTCATTGAAGAAGCACTTCTACAATATTTTGTGTAATTAGCATAATTTTAGGCCTACTGTAGTTACGACATCTGAAAGTATCTATTTGTTTCATTTCTTAGTTTTTATTTTTTGGTAATATTTGAATTAGCAGTATGACAAAACTGTTAAAAAATTTTTGTATGCTTCAAAAGGTATTAAATTAGCAGTTTAGCAAATTAGCACAATTTTTTTTTTGTAGATGGTAACCCGTGAGCAATATGAGGATGCGCTGAAGGATTTGCAAGATGACGGGTTGATCGTTGTGATGGGTAAAACTTCGATACGTGTGTGTAACAACAGGGATTAAAGTTTTTTAATATGATTATATCAATAGCTTTAAGTTTTAATTTTATTACATTTTTATGGTAGATCTGAAATAAAATAATTTTTAATATTTAATTTGTCTATGTATATAATATTGATTGTAGAATTTCTCCGTTTCGAAAGAACCATTTGTTTGATGACATTTCGGTAAAATCTCATTTATCATCTTCAGGTCTTCTGCTTCGTGTTACTATGCTCGGCTTCACGCGAACGCGTCAATGTTCAATAACGATACAGTGAATTGTTTTTTGTTTTAATTTCAAGTTTTTATATGTTCAGTGTGATTCACTATATTTTGACCTCCCTTTAACTTGTTTATTTTAAGAGCTTTATAAAAAAATGTGAAATACAAAAGTTGCACGATTTTTTATGAATTTTTCGAAAATGATGGAAGAACAAATGAAGTCCAAACAAAATTGCGGCTGATGCGGCCTGCGTTTTTTAATATTATCTTGCTTATTGTTGACATTGAGAATATGTGAAGCATATTCATTGATTGCTTAAAAAGAAAAAAAAAGCACCGCTGGTAAAAATTTTCAAGGTCAAACGGCTTTATATGAGTGCAAATTTTTAGTTACATTTGCATTACCGAAAAACTGGCGTTCGTGGGAAGGATTTTCATTTAGATTTTATAAAAAATAGAAATATTAGTTCGGCTTATGGACTTTTGCGAACATTAACGTACACCGTACATGTATGTTCAAAAGAATCTTTGTGGTTACGACAACCTCGCGTGACGTTCCCAAAATTGTTAAGTCCCTTCTTATTCCACACGCCCGATTTTACACCCACAATTAAACGCGGCATACAGAAAAGTTTTTTTAAATGAACACTTCCACACGACCACTTATACTCCGAATACCATTGGTTGAAACTTTCGAACATACACGTCTTTTGACTTCTCCTTTTTTCCATATCAAGAGAATAAGAAACATATCTCTCGTAATTTAAAAAATCCTTTTTGTCCTCAATTTTCCATCTGGAAAATGGCGTTTCCAATAAAATACATACTGGATCATACTATTATACAAAACAAATATTAACAAAGAACCGCTATAATCGTACACTGGGCAACGCGTATTGTATAAACTGCTAAAGGCAGGCGGCAGACGATGGGCAATGCTGTTTCAATTTCTGCTTCACTCATTTCCCCCATGCAATAGTCGCTTTGTTGCCATGACAACCGCCGTAAACAACGCTACGAAGAGAATCAGAATACAGACCGTTTCAGTCTGCGTCACTTGCATTACTATATGTTGCATGGTCCGAGGTTGATGTTCACACTCAACAAAGGCAATGTTATTTTAGAAGGCGTTCACCGCACAACTATTCTGTTTATTTCTGCGTATTAAACAATCAAACACAATATATTGTTATGGTGAAGTTATGTGATTTTTTTTGTGTTTATATGAGCGCCAAATTAATTTTAAATTTAGTTTTAGTGTAACCTGTAATTTTGATTTTTAGTGTAGTGTTGGTTGTATACCTTTGCCCTGCTAGCTTTAGACCCTGCTCAGTAGTCGGTTCAACTCAAACTATTATTCTTCCAGAAACCATGCAAACTAACAACTTAAAACAATAGATGTTTAAATTAATTTATTAATATCTATCTGGTATATCAATATTTCAAATTAGAAATGTCACACAAATTATCGAATATTTTTAAGTTCTTACAATGTTTTGACCACTTAAAACAAGAATTTATTTCGATCTGGTTAAATTACTGTATTACTGGTTGCTTTTTGGACGTAATTTATATTTTCTCTTGTAATTTCTTGTTTTAGTATGTTCCTCTTTATATCTAATCTTACTATCTACAAATTTAAATAATTGGCCAAAATTTTTTATGATGCTTGATATATCACTGACTTAAATTTGTTTCAAATGATTGATTTTGAATTTATCAAGATTTTCAAACGAATTTTACTGTTAATTTGTGCACAAACTGTATACGACAATTAAAAAAGTACCTTTTCTTTTATATACGGATTATTTGTTTATTTCCTTTCCTTTCCGGTTTCAATAGTTGTTTGGACACTATCTGCTATACCGTTTTCTGATGAATTTCCTGGGACCTGCCACTGATGCTGCTACTCTGGCCTCTTATTTATCTGGTTTCCTGGACCTCGCCTGTGATTGTATTTCTTTCTCTCGGCTGCTCGCTTTCCGCTGTCTCTCTGCTACTGATGCGTATAATTCGTTTTCTTTCTGCTGCTTCGACTTGTATTCCGGGTTCTTTTAATCTCTTTCTATAAAATTTGACGTTTCTCCCAAATTTTTTTGTAACTAATCAATAATTATTTTTCTTTTCTCACTACCTTGATTTTGGTTTTTCCCCTGTTAAGGTCTTTTCACATATCTGATTCTGCTTTCTATTTACTTGCCGTTTTTTTCTTTTTCACTCACCTCACTTCACTTAACCTTTACACTTGCCCTATTATATATAGTTTCTTAACAATCTGATTTACATTCTACTTCAAAATATTTCTCATTCTCTACTCTTATGTTACTTTTCTATTTACTACTTGATTCCATGTGAATCCCACTTTAATTTTTTGACATTTCTTTGACATATTGATTTATTGATATACAACTTTTTCTTTGAACCTTAATATCTTTTCCTAATTAGTATTATACCATATATTATAACTATTTATAAACGCTAACATTTTAACTTTTATTAGATATCGGTGACTTATGAATTTGAATTATTTTTATTTAAATTTTTTTTTTAACAATTTCTTGGCATATGCTTTATCTGAACAAATTTATAATTAATTTTTTATTTGAATTTTGAAATTTATCCTATTCTAATAAACCGATGATTCCTACTACTGATTCAATACTAACAATAGAATTTTTTATCAAATATTTTCTTAATTTTATAATAACCATTTCAAACCATTATATTTACTGTTTTGTCTTTTAAATAGACATTTGATTTACATTTTGATTTGTTCTCTCATATCTGATTTCATTTCAATATATACCTGAATTACAAAATTTATATAAAATTAATTTTAAATTACACACCCAAATGGAAATTTTAGGTAAAGCAGTGCGTCATCTGATGAGCCGCCACTGCCCTGTATAACTATGCTCAATAGGGAACGTTCTATCCAAATATGTAAAAATATACAGGGTGTTCCATTTAAATTAACAAAGTCAGGGGCCATTTTGTTTGGACTTCAATTGTTTTTCAACTATCATTTTTGAAAAATTCATAAAAAATCGTGCAACTTTTGTATTTCACATTTTTTTATAGCTCTTAAAACAAAAAAGAGAAAGGGAGTCAGAATATAGTGAATCACCCTGTATATTATAAAAAGCATGTACACGAATCAAGAAAGAATTGATATTGCTAGAGCCTACTTTTTATCAGGAGCAAAGAAAACTATATGACATAGATTACATCGACTTATAAGTACCGAAAAAGAAAATGTTTTGTCAGATTAGTTCAATTAAGAGACTATGGGATCCTTGAACTAGAAATTTTAAATGCCGTGGAAGAGGGTCCTAGTACCAGTACTCGAAGAGTTGCCACAAAATCTTAAGTAGGTTTATCTGATTTGGAATTGACGAACAAAATATAAAATTCATAAAAAAATTTATAATTTTTCACGATTTAGTACAGTCTTATGAGAATGCAGATTTTTTTGGTCTTCCCACTTAGAATGCGCAGCAATTGACAAACAGTTTTAACAGCAACTTGTATAAATAGGAAACCGATATCTAAGGAAGCGTATGACAGCTTGTAGTAATAGATTAGGTACTTGTAAGATACATAATTTATATTTATAATAATTCTCCTTCAAACTGTTGTCGTTGACTAACTTAACCTCTAAATGCGTGATAGCGGCAACGTCGCGGTCTCGACGTAATGTATTATTTGAAATTTGCAGGTGTCCAAACAAACAGAATGATCGAACAGGAGCGAACGAACGCCGAGCCGAGCGCGCCTGCCAAGTACAACGTTGCCAAATCTAAAGGCTTACTACTTTAGTCACTAGCAAATTTACAGAAACTTTCAATAGATTTTAGACGTACCTCCATACCTGATAAACCTCCGTAAATGTTAAAGTTATAAAAATCAGGTTAGCAAACAGATTATTTTGTGTATTTCATTTGTCATTATTGATTACTACATGAGTTTTCTGTTGGATTACTTGTTAAATATTGTTTCATAGTTTATCTTATTTAAAGGAATTAAACTTTTGTAGGACAGTAGAGCTCATGGTGAACACCCACTCAACAAAATTTACGTGGCAAACCTCACGGCGAGTGGTGTGGAAATTTGCATTTTAATAGCTTTTCCTTTAAAAGTTAGATTTGACAACATTGCACAGCCGTTTGCAATTGTGCATGCTCTGCGACTGAAGCGCTCCCTAGTTTGAGGTTACACTAGCTTGTCCAGCGGTGGGATAAGAAAAAAGAACCTAACCTATTTTCAGTTTGAGATGAAAAAATGCTACAATTAAAATTTTAATATAAAAATATATTTATAAAATTATCACAATGTGTAGAAAGTACGACAAAAATCGTTTATAACATATACTTCTAAGCTAATCACAGTGGTTTCATAAATAGTATCACCCATTTTTTAATGTTAGAACTTACATCGCTTGTAAAAAAGGCACTTAAACGTAAAAGTTAAGCTTTAAAAGCCCATGTTCGATTTAAAACCGTGTATTTCCTTTTGCAGGCTAAACCAGTCTACTAGTTTCTGCGTCCGAGACTTCGTCATACTTAGAACTTTCGCCGCGTCTTGAAACTTGTCCTCGTTCCTCCTCAAATACATCAACGCGTCCCTTTTCAGCTGTTCCAGTTTATTCGGGTCGATCTCCGCCATATCTAACATATCCGTTAGGTAGGGATTGAAACGGTAGTAAACGTTGGGAGGGAGCAAATCCGACAGCATCGTATGAACGCCTGAAATTAAAAGAAAGCTTTGAATATTGACTTTGGATTAAAATTATTCGTCTATATACCTTCCGTGTCGGTCGCGCTGTCTAAAATGGCAAGAAACTTCTTTTTCCACGATGAGTTACTGATTGCGGTAGTCGTCAACTCGGCGGAAGCATCTATGGGATTGGGGGCGGTTCTGCCGGTTCCGAATGACACGATACATTGGATTGGGGTCGTAGGCCATAGCAGTTTCGCCTCGTGAATAGCAACAGATGTGGGATTGTTTACTAAAATACCCCCATCCTAAAAACAGTAAGTTCTGCGTTAATCTCTAGAGTTTTTGCTGAAATTAAGATAAAGAAACGGTGGAAACGATATACAGAAGATTTACGAACGTACTCAGTTCATACATTTATTTGCTTAAAAGTTGATTACTTTTTCTAAATTGAGCAAACATCGCTTTATTTTCAAACATATTTACCTGATGGAGCATATTTCCTATCCTGTACTCTTCGAAATAGGTAGGTGCAGCCGCCGAGGCCCTTACGGTTTCCCAAACGGCGTGGTTGTGCCCTCCTATGTACTGCGATTGCACTTTATAAGGCAGGGCGTAATTCCTAAAGACGTACGCTGCCAGACGTGACTGATTGACCACTGCTGACACCGCACAGAACTAAATTGAAATAAATTACACAATTATTAAAAAATATTTATTGTCTGTTAGTATTAATTAAATCATTGGGATTTTGTATGTCATTAAATATGTTATGAATGATTCTATTTATATTTCTGACCTTAGATAAGTGATTAAGTATCATATAATTAATCACAATCACTTGTTCTGTGTTATAAAAATTCAAAACAAACACTCCAGGCATATTTACTGTTTTGTTGACTATGTTTTAAACGTGGGAAGCGTTAACACTCTAGAAGTTTAAATCTTACATATTTGAGTTTGTTTGCACATCGCTATAAAAATTTCAAGTAGGCACCTTATCAGGTTTATTTTGGCAGAATGACTTGCAAGAAATGTGGAGACATAAAAACGTGCAAACATTATAAAGAAAAATGAAAACACATACGTGGATTCTACCAAGTAAATACTATTTTTAACAAACAATGAAAGACTTTCTCAATGCCAAAAAGTAGCACATTTCTCAGCTGGTAGATTATTTTTAGAAATCGCCTCATATACAAGTTTAATGCGCTTTCCTCAGTACCTCTACACAATGCAGACCTTCAAATTTTTTTTTTTAAGAAAAAACATCATATACATATCGCATTCGCATATTAAAAAAGCAGGAAATATCTTTAGGTTGTTAAAAATGAAAAATCTCCTACATAATTTGTACAGTGGCGGCTCGTCAGGTGACGCAAGTGACGCACTGCTTCACCTAAAATTTCCGTTTGGTTGTGCAATTTAAAGTAGAGGGTGGAAATTGGAGATAGGGGTGAAAATGCACCCCTTCCAGTTTTTTAATTGTAGCTCGAAAACGAAGTAAAATTTCGCTATAATTCATAGGAAAAATTATTTAGAGAATTGAATTTCCCATGGACATAGATTTTTAAAAAATTTAAAAGGAAAATTTTATGCAAAAAAATCATTAATAAACAATTTGAAAAAAAGCAAAATATTCAATTTTCTGATTTTTTTTACTTTTTTGCCTCTAGTTTTTTTTGAGTAAAGATAGGTATAGGCATACCTCATACAAAAAAAGAGTAGATAAAATTTCCTTCAAAACAAGAGGTTGTAGGGTATTTTTGGATGAAAATTGACCGATATAAGGCCGCTCAAACATTCAATTTTTCGATTTTCGTCGCGTTTACTCTTATACGTTTTAATTCTCATTTTTTGCAAAAAAGGAAGGAAATAAGACGTTCAAGGATTTTCATCACGACTTGTTCGAAGGGTCATTAAAAATAAAAAAACCGCGGGGTGCTATTAAATTAGAGGGTTGAAATTGAAGAAAGGGGTGAAAATGCACTTTTGCAGTTTTTTAAATATAGCACGAAAACTAAGCAAAATTTCGGTATAGTTCATAGGAAAAATTTTGTAGGGAATTGAATTTCTCATCGAAATGGTTTATTTAAAAAATGTAAATGTAAATTTTATGCAAAAAATCGTTACTTAACAATTTTAAAGAAAGCAAAAAATTAGGTTTTTTGATTTTTTTACTTTTTTAATAATTTAGTAAAAACTTGAGAATTTAAGTACAATAAAGTTTATTAATAATGTATATACAGTGTGTCCACGGATGGAGTTGACAAAAGGAGACTCTTTTGTTTTTGACATTATCGAAAAATGTTTCTCTTTATAAAAAGTTCTGACCCACGAAAAAATGAGGTTGTCATACAAACATCTTAGATTGATATACAGGGTGCTCATAAATTATAAAAACACGAAAACACTCAAGAAAGAAGTACCATTATTCATTATTTTACACATTTTTTTTTTAAATACAAATCTGTTTATAACCTCAAATAATGTCCTAATACAAATTCTAAAATCAAAATTTCAATTTGTTTTCGAGCTACAATTAAAAAACTAAAAGGGGTGCATATTTACCCCTATCTTCAATTCCCACCGTGGTTTTTTCATCTAAATGACCATTTGAACGATTCATGTAATAAAATATCTTGAACGTCATATTTCCTTTTAAAATTCTGTATTCATTCCTGTCTATAAAGTCAGGCGTGTGGAATAAGAAGGGATTAAACAATTTTGGGAAGGTCACGCGAGGTTGTCGTAACAACAAAGCTTCTTTGGAACATACACGTACGGTGTGCGTTAATGTTCCCAGAAGTCCACAAGCCGAACTAATTTTTTATAAAATCTGAAAATCCTTCTCACGAACATCAGTTTTTCGGTAATATTGCAACTAAAAATTTGCAAATTCATTTAAGTTAGACTATGAAAATTTGAAAATTTTGCCAACGGCGCTTTTTTTTTCTTTTTAGTTAATCAATGAATATGCTTCACCTATTCTCAATGTCACGAGCCGCCACTGAATTTGTATCACTCATAAATATTGATATGCACAAAATTATGAATCAAATCCAGTAATTACATTTCCAATTACAAATATTTTTGTTTTAAAACTTGCACGTTTGTATAAACATTTTTTTAATCGCATATAACACTGACCTTTGGTACTTCCAAATTCCTTCGGGTTTCTATGAGGCTTCTATTGTCCCATTGCGCTTTCAGCAGTTTCTCCCACAACGCCGTATCATAATAGGAATGACTCCAAACCAAATTGCTCGTTCCCTTTATTGCGGACTGTGAAAAAATCTGTGTGCTGATATTTTTATAAATTTCTGCCGTCTCATCCAACGTGTTTTGTCTTAAACCTAAAAACAGTATTATTAAAAGAACAAGCTATTTATATAAATACCCTACCAATTAGTGTAGCTATAATTGCTCCAGTGCTGACGCCGCAGATAAAATCAAACATTTTGTATATTGGTTTGCCGGTGAGCTCTTCTAACTTACGCAGCATTTCTATCACTAATATACCCCTAACACCACCTCCGTCGATGGACAGAATGCGGATACCGCTCCCCGGGACGGGGTCTGTATGTCCCAGTAAAGCAAATGCCTCGTTTACGGCTTCTAATACAATTTGGTCGGTTGTGGTTTTACGAATACGTAGCAAAATACGTATAGCACCATCCTAAGAAAAATGCATGTTAAAAATGTATCTATGTAATGTTTCTTTATAAATTACCTTAACAGCATTGTGTTTTTCTTCTGGATGTTGCCTAAGATGATCTATTAATTCTTCGATCTTTAATAATCTCACTGGTGCATCTTCTGCGAGATTTAATGAAGATACTATGATATTTGTTTGAGATAAAACGGTTTCCTAAAAAAAATACACATATTTACCTATATAATTATCATCAAAATGTGGTAATATACCTTAGATGTAAGCCTTTTGGAAATTTTCCATTTCGGTATAACTTCTTTTTTTTCTTCTGGCTTACCATTCACTAATTCGTTTAAAATATTTGGTAAGGATATCTTGCCTTGGTCCTGATTTATTTCCGTCATTTCCAAATTTCTTGATATACCCACACTTATAGAACTAAAATATCGAACAAGATCACTGCCATACGATTTAGCGTTGATATTTTGTAGGAGTTGAGCAAATTCTTTATTCAATGCCGTTTCAATAGTTTTGTCAGCGGTGAACTTGGAAATATAGGATTTCAATTCGTTGATTAATTTCCATTGGCTCAAAACGATATTTTTGGTTTGCATTTTAGTAGCATCTATTGCATTTGATGATCCTGTATTCATATGCCTGAAAATATGTTAATACTAGATACACCTTTTCAAAACGTCTTGAATTAAATAAAAAAGGAGTATTATCTTTGTATAATTTGTAATATTATCTAGATGTAAAAGCATTCTTAAGAATGAGAATGATAAATATAAACTAATTTACAGCTGATTTTGACAAGAATTTCTGATTTCTCAAACCAAAAGATATCATAATTTCCATTTTATAGAGTAACCATAATTTATTAATCATTCACACACAGTTTGATAACATCTAACAAATAAATATAAGTAATTTAAAAATTTATAAATAAATAAAATAAGCAAATCTATTGACGTCATAGAATTGTGCAAACTTGGACTTCTTGACTTGAATTGCTATTCATGGAATCTTGAACTACTACATTTTAGAACTACTAATCGAGTAATCGAGCGCCCTAATTGAATCATTTCAAATCATTCAATTGCATCATTTATGTGCATCATTCAAATTACATAAGTAAAAATAAAAATAATGAGTACGTTGCTCCACTCACGTAGTGCCAATATAAACGTGACTACTAGCACCTATTAGTAATAGCTAATAATAAGTAATAAGCAAATATGTAAATAGTGGACAAAGGTATAAAATTAATAAGTGGAATAAAATATAATTACCTTTTTGGTATCACAGACACGCATCTTCTACAGTGCGATATATTTTTAGTTAAAGATGTCATTTAGAATACTCAATTAATTTGTGTTTCACTAAATTCTTTGAGATAGTGGCACTTTTCACCTTATAGCTCTTTAGATATCTACAAATCCGCGGTTAAAAACAAACTGAGATGAATTCAATAATCGCCCCACTGATATACGTGTAGGAAGTAAACAAGTTTGTTATGCTACTGCGATGCGATCAAATACGTACGACAGTTTAAAATAAGCACATTAGCTGATTTAGAATTTAGCAGTAAGCGCGAATGTAAATGATGTCGCTTCATATCGTCTGATGTTGATGATCCCGCCCCGCAAATCATGCCATTTTCATTCAGGGAAAGTGATACGACATACGCGACACGTGTTCGCGAAGACGCGTAGCTTTCTATAAAAATAGCAGCGAGTTTTAAATATACCTACCTGTCGTAAAGTATGAGAAAAGCAGTAGCACAGCATATATAATTGTTTAATTTGCTGTGGCAATAGTAATTACGTTATGTACGTTCATTATAAATGCAAAACAAAAGTTATCATAGATAATGGATCAAGTAATTTGTTGTTATTCTAAAATATCTGCAGAGATATTTGTACCTATCTTTTTTTATTACGTACCTACCTAAATCTTACTTCAACGCATTATTTATTTTTATAGAAGACGCAGTGCAATAAAAGTAGTAAACAAACTTATTTAATACCTACCTAGGTGCACACGTGTATCTGAAAAAACATATTTATTTGTCCTGAGAATGTTATGTTATCGTTATTGTGAATCTTGTAAATATACAACATGAGTCAGATAACGTCAGATAACGTGGGACTCGTGCATGAACTTTTTCGGGGAGGGGAACATTTTTGAAAAAATATTCCAAAAATGCATCGTCTTAAAAATCGACAGGTTATGTTAAAATAATACCTACCTATCAATCACACGGAATATGGATATAGTTTAAACAATTCTATAAGTTTATTTACAAATATCAGGAATAGATTTTTTTTAAACTTGATTTTTGATAAAAAAAAATAACACCATGGTATTATTTAACGTCCCCTAAAATAATTGTTTATCAAATTAAAGAAAAAATACAAAATACAATTTTGTGGTGAAGTCTCTAAGATGCCATGAATTAAGGAACAGTTGATTGGAGTATCAGTAATAACTATTTAAGTATTTAACCAAAACATTTTTCCTTGAAATTTGGTACACAACGAATTTGGGGGACGTAGAATTATTGTAGTCTAATTTTTTCAATAGAAAAATGCCTCGCATAGTTTTCTGAAAATGCACTTATTATAGTGGGCCATGCCCTATATTCCTACTGTGTTCTGTTTTTAATTTTGATGATACTCTAGATACGCACAACAAAGTTCTATCTTTCTTGCATTTTTTGAAGTTTTTCAGCGCAAATAAAAATATTTTTTTCTCAAATTTAGTAGGTAGGTACACAATTATTTTAGGAGAGGTAGAATATTGCTAAAGCATTATTTTTTTTAATGAAAATACTTGGATTCTAAGTTACCCTTAATATATTTTTCTGAAAAATTGATCTATACCGGCCGTCACGAAATTATTGCAAAAAAATGTCTTAAAAATTATTAGTCGGTCCGCTAGAAAGCCATCGATTTAGAAACTTTTTTCGTGAAACGCAATGTTTCAGAGAAATATGGCAAAATGTGATTGAATGCATATTGTGGATTCGCTATTTTTTTTTCGATAATATTGCGTTTTGCGGAAAAAATATTAGGAGTCAAAAAAGTTTCTGAATTTAATGGCTTTCTAGCGGTCTAATAATTTTTAAGAAATTCAAATATATGACCAAATTTTCTTGGCTTCAAAGACAAGGGGGACTACGAAAAAGTGTCTCAAGAGGGTTCCCCACCAAAAAGGTTAGAACTATGAGATTTCACATGTCATAAAAACCCCTGTGTAGCAAATTTAGTGGTTTTCGTACAACACGGATCTGACATGAAAAAAGACTATTCTTAGGGGCGGATTTCAGGGGGCTCTAACTCCAGAAGAGGGTGGCGCTTGGTAAAAATAAAAAATGCGGCTCTTAAGAACACGTTACCAAATTTGGTGCAATAAATTCGGGACACCCTGTATAAAAAATTATAGTAGGCCAGACGTTAATGACAAAGGAAAATCAATAGTTGCATTACACAAAAAATAGCATTACTTGATTCTACCAACTTAGTTTTATCGTTTTTTTTGCAGTTATGGATTTTCTATAGTCCATTTGTCTTAAATTAATTAAATACTCGTGAAGGACAATATCCATAAAACAAGAAAATGCAACGATTTTTGAAATATTTATTTGAATAAGAACTTATGAAAAAAATTAAACATCCTAAGTAATATCGATAACTATTAAAAAAAATGATTAGAATGAAGAACTACAATTCGTACTTCTCGATCAATCTGTCAACGTCTTCCTTATTCTTCTGTTCGACTTCCTTTACGTAATCAAATATTTTCCAGAGATCTGAAAGAAATTTGAAAAACTTTTGATTTATGTAAAGGTGAATGTGACGACTTACTTTTTTTATCCGACGAAGACATAAACATGGTGAACGTTCCGAACCGTTTCACTTGCGTGAAGGAATCCAAAATATCGAAAATGGGATCTTTATTTTCAATGAAGTGTTTCGCCAGCACCTCCAAAATCCCACTAAACACGTGGCTCTCCAGCGAATTCAAGAAAATTCTCGGGAAATCTTGTGGATCGATTTGTTTCAAGTACTCATATTTTTGTGCCGTATCCTTTAAATTTTTCCAAATCAAGTTGAACTGTACCGAGGTTTTCGGTTTTACAAATTCAGTGTTTGTCTTCTCATCCGCTGCTTTTTTGTGTTCGTTACTTATGCTTATATTGGAAGTATTTTTCACTGCTTTACTTAGCGCTGAAAGTTGACTGGAGAAATCGGGAGGTTTCTTTTCAATAATTTTAAAATCGTCGCTTTTAATCGAGGGTGACGGTTGATCAGGTCTCGGAAAAGCCGTTGAATGGTCCGATTTTTCCGAAACCTTCTCAGTTTGCCTCCTCTTAAATGCGGAAACGTCTTTCTTGGCACCACATCTATCTTCTTTAAAGGTAGAGATGTCTTTCACGGTTTCTGATTTCTCCTGCTTTTCGAATACGTGTTGTTTGATCGCATCGGGCTCAGATTTTACAGATGTTATACTTTCTGTTACACTGTTGTCTTTCTCGATGATTTTAATTCTTTTTAGTGGTTCTTTTGATCGTAAATGAGGTGGTTTCTTTATCGGTTTTACTAATATGATATTATCTTCTTCCAACCAAGATGAGACCGGTTTACTTGTGTCAAATACATTTTTAAAATCAGTATTTGTTGTATCGGTAACAGGAGGTACTATCGGAAGTTTGCTTACGTTAGATTTATTTCTAGAAGCAGTGAATTTTGAAATGGGGCGCTGATCTAATACCTACAAATTTGGATACTTATCGAATAATTTTCAATTTTAAACAAAATATTAACACAATTTCACAATATGCTATCGTGATGTTAAAGCTAAACTTACGTTATCAGGTTTTCCAAGCTTCTTTCTTAATTTTTCTAATGCTTCCCTCGATTCTTTATTTTTTGGCTCCAATGCAAGGACCTTTGAAAGATCAAATTCAGCATGTTCTAATTTGTTTAGTACCTCTCTAGCAGCGGCACGCCTTTGATAGGCCTTCACGTAAGTTTTATCCAATTTTATTGACAAAGTACAGTCTCTTTCTGCTTCTTCAAAGCTACAATAAATATAATTAAGTGATTTTAAACACATTACTTCAATAAAAATAAACATACTTGCTCTTCTTTAAGTGACACAATGCACGGTTTGCATAAAAAATTGGGTCATAAGAGTAATATTGGATAGCCCTACTATAACATTTAATAGCCTCGTCCCATTTCTGACTCTTTACAAATTTGTTTCCCTAAAATATAAATGATTGTCACATACATTTTTTCTTAACATTAAGCATACCCACTTTTTCCTTCTCGATTATGGCTAAATCCTGCATATTATCGTTACATTCATCGGTTAACTCAGAGTCTTCATTTATATCGTCTTCCAATTTATTACATTCTGCATCTGCATCAAATTTATCCCAAGCGCCGTAGTCTGTAATGCCTATTTTTGTTACAGGTTTCTTCGGGACTTCCTTCTTTGACTTCTTAATACTTTTATCGTGCTTTTTTATTTTTTTATGATCAGAATTATTTTCTTGTGACGTTCTCTAAAATAAGTAGTTTTTTGTTTACTTTGAATTGTTTTTTGAGGTTATACGCACCTCGCTGTCACAATTTTTTAAAGCTTCCTCTTTTCGTTTCATCTCTTCTCCCCAGCTTTTGAGATCCTTACAGAAATCTTGCAAATCTGATGCATTTTCTTGTAACTGTTTTCGCAAAAGTACGGGATTCATTTTCAAATGACTTACCTATTTGTTTTGATTTTTTAATTAATTTGGATTTGGAATTTGTCAGAGTTGCCAAGTTAATGTTTTTTTATATCTTAATTTAAAAGTTATCTTAGAAATTAACATAATGTAGTTACAAAAACATGGATTTCACTTTCAAATTTTTATTTTACATTTTCAGTGACTTATCAAATTTAATTATTTTTCAAACTGAGAATTAAATATTTTTAAATCTGTCAACATCGAATTTCTAGAATCTCCATTGTGTGCTGTTTTGATATTTTAGAAGAAGACGATAGCATTGATATAGACCCTTTTCTTTTATTCGTGATCAAAACGCGTTACGATCCTATGGAAACCAATCAGATTGCTAGATTTCGGATCGTAACGCGTTATGATTCTGAAATCATCGATAAAAGAAAGGAGCCTACACCAAACCAACGAATTCTGTGGTTACAATTCGTCTTAGCTTAGAACACTAAACAAAAGCCAACAGATCTTCAAAGAAGAAGAAAAAACTAACTTCACTACTATTTTTCAGATTGTCAATAGTGGAATTACGAATTTGGATTACAATTTGACGTTGACGTTTAATATGGAAATAGACAAAATGTAATTAAAAGTACGTAAGCCAAAAAATGTGTTAAATTAAATTTTATAAGTAAGTTAAAAGTGGTTTTCTGCAGCTGTTACTTCACATTAACCATTCTAACATAAAATGGGTTTTACTTTACCTTTAGGTATTTTCAAGAGTATATACATATTACAACGTATTAGTCCAAATTGGGTTTAAAAATCAGGATAGTATTTATAAAATGTCTTTTAACCAGTGGAAAATTTTAAATAATTTGAAAGATGCAGTGTCAAAAATTACCGGTGATAAATCAATTCAGAACACATTTAGCAAAGATTTTCTTCAACTAATTCAGAAATTACCACCATCTTTATACAGCAATAATGTAATCAAGTATTTTGAAACTGGATCTACCTTAAATAAGCATAAAACTAACACTGAAAGAAACGAAGAATTGCACCTTCCAAGTGTTTTTCACGGTTTAAAAAATAAAGTAGTCACTAACGATGAAACCAAAACAAATAAAGCTGTGGTACTGAAATGGAAGCAGACCACTGTTGTCTCAGAGGTAATAAGAAATAGTTTAAAGTTTAGAAGCTTTAGAAATGAATAACAATTTTTTAGACTGAGATTTTATCTCGAATCGACCGAGTACTTCACATTTTAGAATTTGCAAAATCCGAAGAATCAGTTTTACAGGCAATAGAAGAATTAATACGTTATTTGAAGCAATACCCCGAAATAAAAAACAAGGCAGTCAAGGTAACTATTAGATTTTTATTTATGTGCCGTATCATTTTTACTTGGTTTAAAGGTTGGAGCAGTCCGTTTGTTATTATTCATAAGAAGGGAAAGAAAAAACGAATTAATTCAGGGCGCTATAAGAGAGGCTCTGGCAATTTTAGGTTACGCAGACCCTGTTCCTAAGAAAGGTATAAGAATTCTTTCTATCGATGGAGGCGGTATTAGAGGACTACTTGTTCTAGAAATGTTAAAGAAACTGGAAGAGTTGACGGGGAAGAAAGTGTATGAATTGTTTGATTTTTTCTGTGGGGTCAGCACGGGTGCTATCCTTTCCTTCTCAATAGGTAAGTGTGTACAAACAGACGATCAATAAAAGCGCAATTAATTTTTGTTCTTTTGATAGGTATACATCATCGTAGCTTGGATGAAATTTCTCATGGGTACGAGAAACTAAGTAAGGAGGTTTTTAAGCAGTCTTCGTGGCGCGGCACGGGAAACTTGGTTTGGAGCCACTCGTATTATGATACCGCACTGTGGGAGAAGAAACTAAAAGAGCATTTAGGCACCTTCTCTCTCATTGGCACCGCCAGGAATTCCAGTTGCCCAAAGGTACATACACTTGATAAGTTGAACTTATTAAAATAAGTTGTAATCATTTCAGTTGTGTGCGGTTTCTGCCGTCGTGAACCGTGAACGTGTGTCGGCATTCGTATTTCGAAATTATGCATTGCCGTGGAAGTTCCAGTCTCAGTATTTAGGGAACAGCGATTGCGAAGTGTGGCAAGCGGCGAGAGCCTCGGCTGCTGCTCCCACGTACTTCGAAGAATTCAAATTGGGCAATCTTTTGCATCAGGTATGTAGAAATGTATAAAAAAATTTGAGAATGTACTGTTTTGTTATTTCTTGTAGGATGGTGGGATTCTCGTTAACAATCCGACGGCTATAGCCCTGCATGAAGTGAAGTTGATATGGCCAAATACTCCGATACAGTGCGTCATGTCATTTGGTACTGGTCGTACTGTACCGTCTCCCGTGGAATTTTCTAAACAGTTGGAAAAAGAGGATAACGCGTCTAGCAGTACGTCTTGGGCGAATAAGTTTTATAAGATTTTAGACAGTGCCACGGATACAGAAGGTGAGCCTTATTCACAAACTGAACATAGTGCTCTAAAAAATAGCAACCAAAAAGTACTTTTTATTAAAAACTTGAAATGATTTAAAAAATATTTCACGAAAAACAGCAAAAGTAATTGTGTTAAAATACAGGGTGTTCCAATTAAAAGTTTCCACGTGGAAAATATCGGAATTAAAAAAAAAAACAAAAAAAAACTAACATGTCCATTTTCTTTTCAAAGGGGCACATGATGGCGTAGGTTTTGGTGTCTTGGAAGCTACCCCTTAAGCAGGGGGCGTACAATACCCTTAAACTTTAAATGGCACCCTATTAGACCGATCAAAATAACTCGTTTAGAGGGAAAAAAAAAAGAAAATTCTTACCTGGACTTTTATAAGTGGAAATGGTAAGGGGCTTATAATAAACGAAAAAAAAATAAATGCGTGAGCAGGGGCGGCGGAGGGTTGATTTGGGGGGTTGAAAAGTTATGAAAAATTGTATCATTGGGATTTCTGGCGAAAGTTGACGTCAAACAAAAAGGTATCCAATACAAAAGTTGTAGATCATGCAAAAATCTACAACTTTTGTAGAGGTCACTTTTTAACATAACCTCAAAATTTCCGAGAAAAATGCGAAAAACTGTTTTTTTTCTGATTTTTCGTTTTTTCTCATTTCCGCAAAAATAATTTAATTTTGACGAAACTTGGTGAAAGTATATCTACCTTTCTCTGTATTAAATAACCTCAAATTTTTTTAGATAGAAAAAATCAAGAAGTTTCTGAGATATTCATTTTCTTCGGCTTGAAACACTATTTTTTCAAAGAAAAATTCTACTTAAAAAAATCCTCATACAGAGTTCCGCCGGTAATCATTTTTTTTTTGACATACTTTTTGGTGAAATAAAAAAATCTGTAATAACAGTTCAAAAACATGCTCAAAAATGCAAAAAAGTAAAAAATTATGCAGCAATTAATTTTTCAGTAATTGTTGATAATTTGTTTAAATTTAAAAAAAAAATAAAAACTGACTACACTATCCAATTGTATGAAAAAAATACAAAAAAAACTGTCTCAGTGTTTGACCCAAAACTATTTTTGTACAGTATTGCTATAAACATAAGTCGAATAGTGAATAAATAAAATAAATATTTTTTTTTCGTAGGATCGATTAGTGTACTTATTTTTTTTAAAGTTTGATGAATTCATAAATATACAGTGTGTCCAAAATAAGGATGGGATACCATTAGGATCTCGGAAACGGTAAGAGATACGGGGTGTCTCAGATTAGAAAAAAGTTGTGTTTTTTTATACTTAACAATATGCTGTTTAGAAAGTTTTAGAATTCCGGGTAGTTCCGGAGATATCCGGAAAAACCCGAAATTTTGCAAAATTGTTTAATTTTTTCTGGCTTTATTTGAAAATGAATTTTAAAATAAATTACATATTTACAATGCCACTTTTTTCGCTCTATACAATGGCGTCAACATTTTTGCAATCCGACNTGACCACCTCTTAAGCTTTCCCGGAGGATCTCGATTGTCAGCAATCTCCTGGAGAAGCTACACAGCAGCTGATTCCTCCAGGCTCCTGATTTTTCACCTCTCTTCCGTCAATCTCTTGACTTTTTTTCCTTTCCGTCAATCTCCCCGCCTTCTCTCCATCGTTTTTCCATTGCTCGCGCACTTCACACCACCACTTAATATCTACAACTAATCTATTTACAACTACAATCTATTTTACAACTAAGCAGGGGGTATTGCGACGGGCGCATTACACTATTAGCAATACTAATTAGAAATAATAAAATATTTCATAAATTCGTATTATTTTTTTATTAGGTACAACTTTTTAAATTATGGATTAAAAAAATGTTTTGGATGTTTTGTGTGATGTATTGACTTTTATTCTCTCCTCTCTCTCGGATTTCGCGTCAACAGTAGACTTTGCAGTTAATACTTTGTATTGCTGAAATCTCAAATCATCCAGAGATAATTTATCATTTGTGCATTTGTAATTCGACTTAGATGCTTATAGCAATACTGTACAAAAATAAAGTTGTGGGCGAAACAACGAGATAGTTTTTTTTATTTTTCTCCGTAGAATTGAATGGTGTAATCAGTTTTTGAATGTTTTTTAATTTAAACAAATTATCAACAATTACTGAAAAATTCATTGCTGCAAGTCATTTTTTACTTTTTTGTACTTTTGAGCATGTCTTTGAACTGTTATTACAAATTTTTTTATTTCTCCAAAAAGTATATGTCAAAGTGAAAAAAATGATTACCGGCAGAACTTTGTACGATGATTTTTTTAAGTAGAGTTTTTCTTTGAAAAAAAAAGTGTTTCAGGCCGAAAAAAATTAATATCTCAAAAACTTCTTCATTTTTTTATCTACAAAAATTTGAGGTTATTTAAGACAGAGAAAGGTATACTTTCAGCAAGTTTCGTCAAAATTAAATTATTTTTGCGGAAATGAGAAATAAAAAACGAAAATTCAGAAAAAAAAACAGTTTTTCGCATTTTTCTCGGAAATTTTGAGGTAATGTTAAAAAGTGACCTCTACAAAAGTTGTAGATTTTTGCATGATCTACAACTTTTGTATTGGATATTTTTTTGTTTGACGTCAACTTTCGCCAGAAATCCCTATGATACAATTTTTCAACTTTTCAACCCCCCAAATCAACTCTCCGCCGGCCCTGCTCACGCATTTATTTTTTTTAGTTTTATTATAAGCCCTTTTACCATTTCCACCTATTAAGTCCAGGTAACAATTTTTTTTTCTCCAAGTGTAATTTAGTTGGACTAAATGTCGAGTGTAATCTCATTTTAAAGTTTTTTCATGCAATTCGCTCACGACGACATACGACGTTTTATTTGATAGATACGTCTGTTATACTCGCGATTATTTGTCATAGTAGTTCTTCAATTTACATTTCTTCATTTTTTTCAACTTAGACCTACTGTACATCATGCCTACCAGGAACACGGCTGTGATATAATTTTGAAGTAGAAAATGAGGACGAACTATTTTCAAAATTCAATTTTAGGTGTTCATACCATGTTGAATGATCTACTCCCAGGTGATGTTTACTACCGGTTCAATCCCTACTTAACGGAAATGCTAAGCATGGTGGAAACGGATTCCCAGAAATTAGAGCAATTAAGACGTGATGCCATAATGTACCTGAGAAGAAACGAGGACAAGTTTCAGGAAGCAGCCAGGGTATTGATGAAGGAGAAAAGTCCTGTTGAAAAAGTTATGGATTATGTTAAGGTTCAGAAAGAGATGTTGGGACTTTAAAAAGAAGACTATTTGTAGATTTATACTTGAAATCGATAAGTAGATTTTAAAAACACATTTTGTGGAAAATGTATTTAGTACCAATTTTAAATAAGAATCACCTCATGCTCCTTTTTTTGGTATTGTTTAGGTTTCTAGTCGGAAAAATTTTTTTGAAGCTTTCAATTCACGCATCCGCAATTGAGACGTCTTTGCTTTGTTCCCGTTAACTATATTGGATAGTTAGAGATTTCTAGGACCAATATAAATGTAGTGTTAGATTTGATACTAACGTTTTAGTTCTACCTCGAATGCCCCTCTTTAATTAACATTTCAACGAGCAATTTTACCATTGTTTCGTTTAATTTTTGTGATATTTACGTGTAGACAAATTGTATGTACGTATATTTTTAGAAATAAATTGTTTTTATGCACAATTGCCTCGATTTTTACACACTTTAAGAAAATACAATGATACAACTAGAATACATTCTACAAAAGCATAATAAATTTTCAAAACTAAAAAAATTTAGTTTACAATACATATAAAATGGAAAGGAAATGTTAAATTTGTGATGCAGTCAATTTAACTCAACTTGCAAAATTCATTTGAACAGCACTGAATACGTTGACTTCTCACATCTCGCTTCTAAAGTGTTTACAGCGGTGGTCATGGTTACCGTCGTGCAGCAGTGAAAGACGGAGTGGGAGTAGCCCATATTTAGTCCGAGCTCTGCTTCGTCCGCCAGTAACCAAATTCACCGCTTTTATTTCTTGTTAAACGTAATTCGTTTACATTTGTGGTGTAAAATTTTGTTACCTGCGTATTGTTTCTTGTGTTTTTTAAAATATTGTAAAAGTTTAAATTACTCGTGGATTGTAAAGAGGGTTTTACAGCACTTGCAATGCTATCTATTGAAAAATCAATGGTGAAAAGATGCTAAATTTTAATGGAAAAAGTAATTGAAAATTTTATTTCGGACAAAAGCGGGATAGACATCCAGTATAAAAAATAATGTTGAGCACAGGTGCTTCCCTATGCTTCAATTGTACTTCAAATAAAACTACTCAATTTATTTTTTTTTTCTTTACAAGCAGTGACATTATAATTGCATGTAGTAAATGTTCAATTTTAATCAGACAAATCGATAAATATAATTTCATAAAAATCGGAAATATTTTATAAAATATGTTTTTTCAAATATCAACACTAAAAAATCCTATGAAGGAATAATCGGAACATAAACCGAAACATCCTATATAAAGATAGTATAATGGCTATATAACATTTAAATTCATATGAATTAGATTTTATGAAATTAACACTTTTTACATTTGACTCTATATTAATTATAATCATAGGCGTATCTAACGGGGAGCAGGGGTATTGTACGGCCCACCCCAGAAAAAAGATCTAATATTATCGGTAAGTTGCTGACTGCGTGACCTTTTTTATTTTGTATGTCGATCTGCCACAATTATGTAATAAATAGGTACTTCTAACAAAATTCTAAAAAGTAATAAAATAAAAGTTTATGAATTATGTTACCAAAATTTCTTACCTATATGTATACATATTACACTAAAAATCAGTTAGTTTGGCATATTTCTTCATTTTTATTTCTCGAATTGTATGTTAAATGAAATAATCTCCCATTAATTAATAAAAATATAATTGAACCATTTGTGGTTTCGACACAAAACCATAGAGAGAGAAACAAAGCACCAAAATGCATGGAGCGTACATATACAAGAAGGTTTTTTGTCTTACTTTAATATGCATGTTAAAAAAAGATGCAAAATGATACAATAAATATATCTTCGACCAAGGCGGCATCTATAACTTTTTGTTTACATTACAATGCTGGAAAGAGTTCCAGAAGGTCGTTAGATGGCACTGTATTTATGAAAATTTAGAATAAGGCTCATCTTAGGCTCAAGTTCAAAAGTGACATAAGCCCGATTGACGCTTTTTGTTTTTTAGGGGTAAAAACTACCCCTAAGTGAAAAAAATTAAGTTTTACGCAATTTTATTTTATTTTGTAAAAATCTTGTTCAAGCACAAAGATTAAATAATGTTCCATGTTCTCGAACATGTATGATATATTTGATCTTTTCGACCCTTTATTTATAGGTAATAAAATAATTTTTCACTTTCAACCCGTAAAAACCACCCCAGCTTTAACGGTGCAATTATTTAAAATAAAAATTCCCTCATTGCTTATGAAAGAATTTGTATCTCATAACACTTTTCAACCCTTATAAATCACCCCTGTGCTAAAAAAATTATCGTTTGCATATAAAATCTTTTAAGTCCTTCGTTTTTTAAAGGGAAAGGATCGAAAAGCTCCAGACAGGTCGTTTTTTCACTAAAATGGATACTTCAAGCGGCGATATCTCCTTTATTTTTTATGCTATAGGAATAAAAAAGAGCAAAATATTTGTTGAAAAAAAAAGCTACATTTTGTTGTCTATTCATTCGGAGTTATTATATAAATAAGGCATAAGGCATTTTTTTTTTGAATAATGAAAAATACGTTTTCAACTTTTATCGTACATTATTAAAAAAATACGCATTCTAAACCGGTCTAACTTCAGGATCGTATGAAAAACACTAAAACAAAACTAATTATAAAGCGTATACGATTAATTTTAATTCTGATGGAAATGGTACAGCGTTTACTGCTCATTTTTCCTTAAAAAATGTGAGCAACCCATCGGTTTTTTACGATAACTCCTTCAATTTTGCTTTAATTAATTTTTATAAGTGCTCATTTTGAGTACTACAAAAAATTCCTGGAGCGTTATACACGTAAAATTATTGAATACATCGATTCGAGTATTCCTCCCAAAACAAGTCCCCTTCCACTAACCATATTTCGCTTTGTATAGGACGTACAACAGTTTTTAAAAAACCATTTTCTTTGTTTATTTATAAGCTTTTTATAAATAAAATGCGCAGTTTTTTAGTTTTTCGCGAAAAATACTTTGAAAAAGTGTTTTTTTTTTTTTCACTCAAAATTACAAGTTTTCAATCGTGAGTAAAATACTATTGATTTCTCGAAAAAATTCTTCGAATATTTTTTGCTCAAAATTTGATTCTCTATCGATTTCCAACGTTATTTTTGAAAACAAATTTCCACCCCCGACAGCCCCAACAGGGTGGAAGCGTCAATCGGCGCTGTCAGTAATGTTCATTGACCTTTTCTCTTAGACGAAATAGCGAATCGGCGTATGAGAGAGGCGCGCGCGCGGCTCATAGCGCTTTATTAACAATTAAAAAACTAGGCTTTCTAAAGCCTAATGCGAGTCCCAAAAACTCTTCAGCATCTTGTAGGGGGATGTTTTCAAAGAATTGGGAGGTGAAAAGGTTCAATGATTGTACTATTTGTTTTTTTCTATGGTAATACCTTGTGCCAGTAGACCGAAAATTTCAAATACTTACTAAAAATCTCGTAATATTCCGTTACACCAGGAAAATTAGCGAAAATAAAAGAGAACCTCGAAAAAAGTCATATCCGCGAGATTATTGTAAAATTGTCTAAAGTTCTAAATGAGTTCTGAATGAATATTAACTAACTTTTCTATTTAAACAAATAAGTGAGGAAAATAGTTTTCTCACTTTGCAGAAAAAATCATCAATTTTAACGAAAAGTGACTCACAGACGGATTGTAGGGAATAAAATTATCTATAAAATGAGACTTGTTAAATTAAAATCGGTTAATAAACAAAAAAGTTATTGCAAAATAACAAGAAAAGTGCCCATTTTTTAATTTGTTTATAGCTATCGCATTTATTGTTAAAATTTTATAAAACCTATGACAAGTTGAGGGTTTTGTCATACTTCAAAAGTGTGCCAAAAGTGGGCGCTGTAGGTGCAATAGTTTTCGCACAATTCTATTTGTTTATACGGAGGCTCCGGAAGTTATGAACTTTAAGCTTCTGTACAGGCGTTAATTTTCAACCAAACAAGATTCTGAAAGCGTCATTTTAATCTTAAAGACGTAATTAAGCCACCTATTAAAATATATCACCGTTTTTTTGATATTAACATTCTCAAATTGTGCATTAAAAAATCGTGCGTTTTTCGCTTTTAAACAATTTGAATAAAATTGTTGCCATTTACGCTACCTCACCGAAAATAGATACAATGGATAGCTGGTAGCGCAATTGTTTATAAACATTAACACTTGAATTTTTCGCAAAATAAAGTTTACGACGTAAACTACGATTTCCAATGAATTCCATTGAAAATGTGGAAAATTAACTACTCACGAGCCCTTTAAAGAGAAGGTACTCGCTAAGTAAACTGTCCGGTGGCGTGGTGGTTGCGGAAGCTCGGCCAAGCGAGTCGCGCGCGCGAGAAAAGTTAATTCCAGTTAAGTTCAAATTGATGCGCGCTATAAATTTTGAAATATCTCGGCTTCTATTCATCGTAGAAACTTATTTTTTTTTTTTAAACTGGGGTAGCTCGACGAAAAAATAACAATGGGAATATTTACGAATTCGTAGAACAGCCCTGAACCCCAGAAAAAATGCATCTTTTTATACTTATTTTTTTTTAATTTACAAAAATGTCACAAAAATTATTGTTAAACGAAATATTAATTAAAATATCAATTTCATAATTATTTTACTATTATTAAATAAGTAAATGAAGCTATCGTTCATTTAAAAAGTTATTATTTTTTACATATTAAAGCAAAGTAAACTTGTTTTTTCAATATTTTGTTAGCTATTAATTACGATTTAAATGTAAAATTAAAGTAAAAATTCACAAGTTATTTTCAATTATTTCTCATAAAAATAGAAAAATTTTTAATTTTAATTTGTTGTGTTATATTGTATTGAAAATGGTTGTGATTATTTTTTTAAATAATTTTGATTGTTGCAAAAATTTTTTTGTATAAAATTAGTTATGAATATAATAAAAAAACCTTATATATTAAAATTCCAAGAAATTAAAATTGTAATTTTATGGACCGCATTATTTTTATTAATATTTTTTAAATTTGAGAATTTTTCAATAAATTCAAATACTTCAACTCTTCTTCAACAATTCTTTTTTAAATATTTTAACAATAAATGCGATAGTTATAAACAAATTAAAAAATGGTCACTTTTCTTGTTTTTTTGCAATAACTTTTTTATTTATTAACCGATTTTAATTTAACCAGTCTAGTCTCATTTTGTAGATAATTTTACTCCCTTCAAGCTGTCTGTGAGTCACTTTTCGCTAAAATTGATGGTTTTTTTCTGCAAAGTGAAAAAACTGTTTTCCTCACTTATTTGTTTAAATAGAAAAGTTAGCTAATAAAAGTTTTTGACTCGCGAGATGAGAGATGTCTTGTATTGTGTTCCTTTAGACAATTTTACAATAATCTAGCGGATAGGACTTTTTTCGAGTAAAAATTTAATTTGCTTGGTCTAATGGTAATACCTTGTGTCAGTAGACCGAAAATTTCGAATACTTACTCAAAATGCCGTTAATATTCCCTGTCTTCTATGGATTTTGTTTTACGGTAATATTTTCCATACAAAAATACTACTACCATGATTTTTAATTTTCAGCTATTTTCACGTTATCTTATTTGGTGAGGTGAAGCAGTAATGAGGTGTTTGAAATAATAGGTTTGTGTAATTTTCAAAATATTTTAATAGACTATTTAATTGAAGCTGCCATTTAACAATTACAGATTTTTAAAATTTACACAGTATTTTACATGTACAATACGACCACAGTTGCTGCGGAAATAACGCACATACCAACAAAAACAATAAATTTTATATAACGAGTATATAATATATGTAAGTAGCTATACATATAAACACATTTGTAGGAAATGATTTTTACAAAAGAAATCAAAAGATCGGTTTAGTTCATAATTCAATATTACAAAAAATAAACTGGAAAAAAAAGACGTTTTGTACGATTCAGACCTATTACAGCTATGAGACCTTTTGTACATTACGAAAATAGTGTAAAGGAAGTGTCAGGTAGCAAAAATACTCATCTTTTTAATGGAAACTAAAAAAACTATTAGGATCCTACAGTACGTTTTGAGGCACCGGGTGGGAACGGAAACATGTAATGACAACCTCTACATATACAATACTGATACTGGAATGTCATCAATTCTGCAAAGGAAGAGCCGGTACCGAGGCCCGTTCTGTATAACTGGAAGGAAAAGAATTTGGTTCGGCTCGGTTCGGCGGGCGTCGGTACCGCGGTTCCCTCGGAGACGAATTCATAAATACTTAAATTAATAAAAAATAATCTCAACAAAAGTAAATAAATAATTTGAAATATAAATATATCAGAATGAAAATGAATTAAATAATAATGAGAAATGTTGAATTATTTCGCCAGCCGTCAAAAATAATTCAATATTCGGTGCGTGAAATAAATAAGGCCCTACTGATATATTTATGTACGGACAATTTAATACTTTTCAAGAAGTGATGTTCACCTGCTTTTCATGCAATTATTTTCATGACGGCAAAAATAATTTCATAAAATTTTTAGCGCTCTACTTTCTTTGGTCTTCGACGAATAACGTGTAAAAAGAACTGGGCTCGAACTAAGACTATTTTAACTGTAGATAAATAGAAATAAATAAATATCGTAGACCAATCAAAGTAGAAGAGAGAGAGAGATTCACAAATTCTGTCAGAATACCTAAAAATATAATACATTAATCGCATATTGGTGATTTATTTTAAAGACTAGATTCATAGGACAATGGGCGTTCGAAAACATTCACTTTGCCAAGTAGTCGATCATTTTTTCGAATTTTGGCCAATCTTCTACCATCAGCAAGCTCTCGACACACCCTTTGAAGTATTTGGTTGAAAAACATTCGGATCTAAACAGACGAAAAATACATTAGTTTCCTCATTTACTGCGCTTGCCTTCTTCTAATTGTGTACCCATTTTATATTTTATTTATCATAAATTGTAAAAATTTACCAAACTACTAGAAGAAGACAATTGTTAAGTTAAAACAGAAGGAAAATGGAGAAATGTAACATTACTTTAAAAATGTGTAATATTACATTTCGCAATAAGGTTATCAAAAACGTGCATTGATGATTGTTGACGTTGCTCAAAAATGTATACAAAACAAATTTTATGTTTCAAAAATATTTCTCATATTGCGCATATTCATTTAAAAACTTTGACACCATGAAAAAGTCTGAAAATTCTGGTGTTTTTTCACAGCATAATAAAAAATGAGCACTGTATTACGTATGTGCTTAGTGTTACGTAAAAGATCGAACCCCAAAAACGTTTAGAAACAAACTAAAAATTCAAAAAGGGAGTGAAAAAGTATTAGAATAAATGATAGCATAAACCGACTTTAAAGAAAGAAAGAAAACATTCTATGCTTTTCCGAAAGTTTGTGACGCTCAAAATAAATCCTAATCCGACTTCAGAATTATTCAATCACGTAGGCTAACCTAACCTAAACGTGCGAAGAAAGCCATATTTTTTATTATTTGAGGTTATGTTACATAATGAAGTGATTTTCCCAACAAAACTTGCTACGGCGTTTGTAAATATTAGTTTCAGGTCCGTAACAAGTTTTGTTCAGTGAAATTACTTCATGGTGTAACCCGTATTTCTAAAGCCTAATTTAGTGGAGTCAAGATAGCTTAAAATTTTGCATTATTTCGAAATAATTATGGGAAGCATGGATTTTTCTAAAACCTTTTCAAATTACTTGGAGATAAGTATTAGAAAAAAGTTATAAACTTATTTTTGTACGCTAATTGGTTTTTAATTGTTTTAAGAATAATAAATAGTTTTTTTAGGAACATTTAAAATAATTCAATGAATTTTAAATCGAATTCTTTCAAATTGACAATATACGGGTTTTCGATGTCGCTGAACAGGAATATGAAGTCGGAAAATGAAAATTCAAAATGGCTGATCCAATATGGCTGACTAAAAATGTATTTGCAAGTTAGGTTATATGAGCTAAATTTCGAAATAATCGACAATTTTCTGTAACACTGTAGCAGTTGTGCCCCCTAGCTGTGAAGTTACAAACTTCAAAATATTTTAAATCAATTTCTTTTGGTCGTATTTGTTAATAGATTTTTTACCCCATAATCGTAGCACGTCTAGTTTCCTATATACAGCCGCTCGATACCGTTAATGGATCACCCTGTATATATATTAAACTCATATCTATGTCTACATCAATAAGAGAATTTATATTCACAATTTCAAATGCAGAATATATATTTTAAAAATGAATATTAAATCAATTCATCAAAAAACGTTATTTTTTTGCTGTTATAACAATTTTCCACTTATTACTATAAATAAAAAAATATTTTTCGCTGGATTTACTTTTTTTAAGGTCTTAACTTAATCCTTTGATGGTTTTTTAAAAAAATTTTTTTGTACATTATTAAACTTTATTTAACAATAAATCTCACGGATTTTTCATGAAATATTTTTATTTTTTGTTATTTTTTGTTTTTTCAACCATTATTTAATTTTTTAAGAAAAATAAAGTGCACCATCTTAAAGTAGACATTTTAAGCTTTAAAAAGTGTCCTCATAAAGTTTCAATATCATATTTACAACTATAATTTTTGATCTATAAAGTATGGCCTAAAAAGTCCAATTTGTGATTTTTTTTAAATTATTGAATATGTTGGGCTCAATATTTTTCAAATTAAATTTTTAAGATTTTTTCCATATCGCTCACTGTTTCAATCGTCATTTGAAGAGTAATCTGTGAAAGTTACAGATATTTACTTTAAAAATTAAAAGAATGACAACTATTTTATTATTATTGTACAAAATTATAGAATGACATAACTTTGTATACGTAGGTACTATATATTTTTTTTTTCTCAAGTTTAAAGACATAAAATTTTGATAGCCGGATGACTCTTCTTTCATTTAAATTTTGCGAGGTCGATTTGATCAATTAGATCAAAAGTTATAACAAATTTAGTGTAGCGCGCTCGGGGCCGCGCGCACTTCGGGAGCGTTTCATTTTTCGTACGTTAGAAAAAAAATTCTACAGCCCTCAATTCGCATTTTAGAAAAAAAATTTATTAACATTTTTTATGTAAAATTTCCTGTTCTTTCGAATGGTGCAGTTAATTTTTTTTTTAATTAAATTTTTTATATATATTTTGCAAAAACTAATTTTGCAACTGATTTGTTAAATAAATAATTTAGCGTACACTCTACAGTTGGTGACTTTTTATATGTTGTTTCTAACAACTTTAAAAAGCGAAAAATAAAAAGTTCTCCCTTCCCGTAATTTTGACGAAGTCAAAATCTATCTCGAGTCCACTAAATGTGACGGAGTGATTAGATCGGATTAAGATTTAGAGCGTCGTAAACCTTCGGGAAAGTATAGTATGGTAGTCACATTTTGTCGGCTAGTGTAATAAAATTGTAGTACAAAAGTTCGGAGGCTTATTTCTTAATTAAAAAATTAAAGATTATGTGAAATACGAAATACATCTGTAAATGTACTTATAATTTATCATAAATACATTTTTTTTACTCAAAATTTATAAATTTTAGTAAAAATATGTATAAACGATTTATAAAAAATTGAAAATTTAATTTTCTTCAGCATAAGACCTCAGCCACGAATTTTTATGGTAAAAAAAATAATTCCAAATAGAGTAAGTAAAAAAAAATCCCAAAAATTAAGCAACGTACAAAAAAAATGTAAAAGTGTCGTAAAAATAACACAGTTACAGGAAAGGGTAGTTATTAGGGAGATATTAAGTTAGGAAAGGAGCTAAGACTATGTTATCGTGTTAGACGTAACAGGAAGCCGTGCTGTGTGTACCTAGACCCCGGGATCTGCCCCGTGTAATTGTTTTATCCAAGACTTGATTTGTTCCATCTCGTCCGAAAGCTGCAGGGTGTCAATGCACCCTTTGAAGAACTTTGTGGTAAAACAGTCTTGCCTGCAAGAGAAATCATAAAGAAAATAAAGGAAATAAAAACTCAAACCAGTCACCCAACTCAAAATAAAATAATAAATAAACAGATAGAAGGTATACAGTCAAGTGGTAAAGAAATTTTTCCTTGATACCTATGCAGAGTTTCAAGTCCATATATTCAATTGCTGCAGAGCTACTCGTGTTTTTGTAAACATACGAAAGTGAGTTTATCGATTTTCACTACGACTGATTTACATTAAATTTTTGTAAAGCATCGAAGGCCATCCATACCGGACATGAGTTAGATAGACTTTAGACGTTTAGATAGATGCTTTAACCGCGCCAATTCTTAATAGGAAGCTCAACTAAAATTCCATACTATTGGTGTTTTTTTTCTTTTATCTCAGCGTTAATTGAAAGTGTCAACGTATTAATAGGCGAGCGGTTCACCCCTAAAAAAAAAGGCATGAACGGACAAAACCCTACAGCATGAAACTTTTTTTATTTTATAAAGTGTATTTTTCTGATAATTTACATATATTTTTTTTATATATTTCGGCGTGGTTAGTCAATTGTTATAAACAAAAAAGTTGTAAAAAAAAATACTCGCCGAATGGCTTTGAAAAATTGGCTTTTATTGTGAAATGGAAAATAAACACTTGTTGTTCTTTGACAAAAATTCGAATGGTTCGTTTTCGATATATTTACAATTTAATGTGAAAAAAGTGACGAAATCGACAAATTTTCGGATTTTTTTTCTCAAAAACTACTGAACAGATTTTAATTCTAAAAAAGGCATGATAATCGGCAGATTTTCTACTTTAAGATATATTTTTTTGGTATGAGTCAATCATTTTATTGAAGGTCTAAACCGAGTAAAAAAAATATTTTAAAGAAAATTAAGATAACACTTCAAATTTAAATTTTCTTTTTACAGTGTCTTAGATTAGCTTACATTTACAATAAACATTATTATGATTTATTTAATCGATATATGTTAACAGTACAAATGTTCAAAAGATCATTTTATTTGGTTCTGTAGCCGGTGTAAGGTTTTTGCAATTAGTAAAATTTAAATATTCGATTTTTGGTTTTATAAATGACTAAAATTGACTTGAAAGTTATACCTACCAAAACTAAACTAAATAAGCTTTTTACAACTTTTTTGTTTATAACAATTGAATGACCGCGCCGAAAAATATAAAAAAATATGTAAATTATCAGAAAAATACACTTTATAAAATAAAAAAGTTTCATGCTGTAGGTTTTTTGTTTTAAAAATTTAGTCGGTTACCTTCATTTAGAAGTATTTCTAAATGAAGGCATCAGTGGCCTGCAAAGAGAGCGATATTGCTTCTGCAGTAAAGTTCGTGTTAATTTTCATTGTAGAATAGTTATTAATGCCAAAACACTACAAATTTTTATTAATGTAATCTTGATAATTTGACAAGTCCACTTCTATTTGATTGGATCTCTCTATTGGAAATTTGATAACAAATTTAATGTGATTTAATTTTATTTAAAACACTAATGATGTGTAATTATTTGATACTAATTAAAAGTAAACTTGAGACTAAAGAAAAGAGTCAGATGGAAATTAGATACTCTTTTTAGACAACATAATAATAGACGACGTGGAATCGTGATTATTCCGGATACAAAAAAAAAAACATCGCAGCGTGGAATGTTCACTATCTAGGTAGGTACTTCTACTTGTTCCGATAACAATAATTTTCTCAAAACGCTGATGCTTTAACCACATCCGGAAATGCCTCTCGACGGTTCTAGCGAATTTACTATTTTATTTGGTCACGCGAGACCGTTATTTATAGCAAAATATGTAGACGGCCTATACCGGGAATTATAAATTGTACGTACACGGACACCATAAGAGTTATGCTCACTGGAAGGTGGCATTGTGGTGGAGACCATTACTTCACCCAAATTTTAAATCTAGTTCACGTGAAATCTTGGTCAAATCGTCCGACAAGATGCGGTTACAAAACCTGAACGATCTTAGACCATTTCGTCTCTATTCCCATAACCTTGCTGGTTATTTTTCTGTTTAAAAATATAACACGAATCGACCTTGAACAAAATGACCTTGTACGCAAGAAGTCGATCTTATAATTGTAATGTTCGTAGTAATCCTGCCGTTCGCAGAAAGAGTATCGGATATGATACAAGATGTGTAAACTCACAACCGGGAATTTTAGATTTAGATTCACATTCGTTTTGCATATGCATTGCAGGCTTTATTTATATTATTTAGGACGCTTTCTACGTCTATATTATCAGTTCAGGAAAGTATTTGTTTCATTTTAGACAAAAAAAAAAAACTGAATCAAGTGTCTAACGTCCAAAGCTACTAGATACAGGCTGTTGAAATTTAAAAGAAATCTCACATTTATTTAAATATCTTCAAGTGTTTATGGGGGATTACACGATTGGGAAATCTTCTCCGATATTCTTCAACACTTCTTCTGTGTCACAGAAATTTAACACTAATAGCAACTTGTTCGCTAAATTAAAACTTCCCGGTCATTTTGAAAACACTCAGCAAACAATTATTAAAATTTAATTTATGTCATTGCATTGTTGTTGGAAGATTCCCTCCTCATGAAAACAGTTGATATTTCGCAATAGGAAGATTTTTCAACAGAGACACTGGAGAGTTTATCTTAAAATGACGACAATAATACAGCTGTTATTTCGTTAATTGGAAACATTTTGCTGCATTTTGCTTACAAACATTTGATTCAGATACATTCTTATTCTTGCAATCGATATTTCTTAATAATGGAACAAATTAAAACATTTAAATTATATACAAAGTCTAGCCCAGACCTACAAACAATGTTCACATGCAAATGTTTTTAAATAAATGCGGGATGCACAAAAAAAACATTTGCTAGACATCAAAACCAAACGTTCATAACAAATTTTTTGTTAGTCTTGACCATTTCTGTTTCAATATTTCAAACTATTGTCTACATATTTCTGGATTCAAGAAGGCATCCCGAACAAACCGTTTTTACACAAACGTTTGCAGGTAGATCTGAAATAGGCTTTTTAGCGGTCCCAAACGTCGGACCTTTTACTCTTCTTACCTGCATAGCGAGTGGATAGAGGGCTCCCTGAAGAGATTGTAGCAGTCTTCGCAGATGCGGTCCAGCCTGGCGAAGATGCTTTTGTCGTACACCCCCTTACACTGTATGTCGAAGAAGGACCTCTTGGTGAGGTGGTGGGTGAGAAGGGGCGACCTGTTGGCCGGGCTACCGGAAGTTATGTGGAAGATAAGCGCTAGGGCCATGCACACCCAAACTGCCTGAGTGTTTGTTACACTCTTTAGTGATCGGTGACTCATCTGGAAGCAAGGAAGAGGAAGTTAATGCAAGGCCGAAGGGTGTTTTTCATTGGCACCTTTTTAGGGAGGTCCGATTTTAAATGAAAAATAAATAAGTGCTAAAATTTTTATACCTTGAAGCAAATGGGACACCTTTAAAAGCATAACAAAGAAATGTTTCGATTATCACTGATTTACGAACACTGTGGTCTTTTTCGCTTCAACAGACACATAAATTTTAATAAAGGCTCAGGGTCCGCGTTGCTGATAACACTGAATGGAATTGTTGCATATTTTATTGATATTTGGAATTATCGTGAGTTATAATTAGTGGTCTGTGTTACAAAAGGTTAAATAAACTAATATTGTGACAAATGAGTACAAGTTTTATTATCGCCTTGCTAACACCGGGTGCGCAAAATTAACTTGAGGAAGCAGTATATTTTTTATTATTAGCTCTTGTATTTTTACTTTATTTTCTAGAGAGAATAAAAAAAGTTGATAGAATTTAGAAGTTTATTTGAATTACCCTTTAAGGGGGCGATTTAGTATGTATATTTTTACCATGTAACAGAGCTTCAGATGAGGACACAAATCATCGAAGAAACTAACATAATTGAATATTATTATATATCAATGTATTCGCAATGGTTCCCGCTAGTGAGTGAAATAAATTTCAATGCTCATGAGAACAGAAGAATAATTTAAATAAATGCCAAAGTACCTCAATTTTAACCATACTGTTAGTCTGCCAATATATTGGATTTACGACGGAACTAGGTCAGGCACAATAACCAAACTACTTCACTCACTAGAACGGACACTTAGGATCATTTGTATTTAATTTTCAGATTAATATTTATTAACAATTCTATAATTTGTGTCCTCAAGTAAGATGACAACATTTTACACACGACTCCATGTTATATTATATTATATTATATATTTAAACCAGAATTTTAGCGGTTTCTATCTTCTACAAGAATTTCTAAATAAAATTAGTTTGTGTACTCTGTCACAGGTGTCGCTACCCTTGAAAATGAAAGCGAAAACACAGAGTTGGTTTATTGTAAATTGTATTGGCCGAGAAATAGTGAAATTTCTGGCGTTTTTAGGTACTGAAATCTTTAAAAGTAAAACGTGTAGAACAAAAGTAGGGGTAAGCACAAAAATAAAATCCTTGATGTTTTGTTTATTCATGGTTACCGTTTAAATTTACCCAAATAAAATAATAACTAAAAAAAAGCGTTTGCAAAACATGCGTTTGCTATTATCCTAACCCCACATTTTAACAATTATTTTCACGTACTTATAAAAAGTAAACAATTTTATATGTAGGACTAAGCAAGTAAATGTTATAAGAATATTTACATGTGGAATTATATATAAAAAAGATAGTATTTTCGTAGATTTCAGTACCTAAAACCTTAATGATTTGATCGTTTTTTGCACCTGTTTATTCGTTTTACTGCGGCGTCTTTGAAAATACTCAGGTGGCATGACATAACATTCCTATTATTTGATAAGCTTTAGATTATTCAGTTATTAAATGTTTGAAATTATTTGTCTTTGCGGAAAACACTATTTAAAGAATATGGGACCCATAATGGTCTGATATTATCTTTGATATATAAATATGGGTAATATTTTAAAAGTAGGTAGGTACCTAAGTAATAAGATTTTGTAAAGCTTAAGTAGTACGAAAATATAACGCATAAAAAACCAATAATATGTACTAATTTTTCTTTATTAAGAATAAAGATTAAATTTTACGTACAGGGTGTCCCACATAAAATCGTTATTTATATTGTAGCCTTGGTAGTTTCAAAATAAATTTACAGCTTAAAAATTGGTCTGGCTCAGGTAGATTTCTGTTTCAATCTACAAATCAGTAGCTACTTACCGATAAGAAGGAAACCACTAGTCTAGTCGAGAAGTGAGTTTTTTTTGCGAAAAATAGTTATTGTAATCCTAAAAATATGGTTGTTAGTACATTGGATTCGGAATTATATTCAGAGAAAGAAGTATTTTTAAATTTATCCGCAATTAAAAATAGCAATTGTTATAAACAAAAAACGAAGAGAAAAAAGGGAGTCTCCGTTTTTTAACTATAACTAAAAAAATATTGAAGATAGCTGAAATTTCAAAAAAGATCCTGAAAGAGGAGAAAATTTCAGCAAAATAAGTCAGGAATTGTAGCTCCATTATTTATAATTTTAATTTGACGTTGAAAATATAGCTCCGCGCGGCGGCGGCGGTTTCCGCGTCGTCGCGTCGCCGCCAAGCAAAGTGTGCAACACAAAATAATTTTTTTATAGTATTCAATATTAATTTAAAAATCTAAATAAATTATAGTGTCATCTAGACACTTGAAGGAACACAGCCCAGTTGGAAAATAATTTTTAACTTGACTTTTCTTAGTTATTCAATTGTTAATGAATTAATCTTTCATAAAACTTGTAAAAGTTTAAATAATGTATCTACAAATTTTTTTCTTTCTGGGAGGTCTTTTTATATACATAATAAACAAGATTCCGTTGTAAAAGTTTATAAAAGTTTTTTCATTTGTTTATAATGATTTTTTAAAGTTAACAAAAAATGAAAAATCCGGGAAATGTTATAAAAATTTTTTTTACCAAATGTTTGATTTTAGTTGTTTTTCTATTAATATATTGCGTTTATTAGCTTAGCTAAAAACTTTTTAACGTTATTTGTTTATAAATTTGTTATAAACAAATGGACAAGTTTAATATTTTTGAAACATTTTTTTTGCCATTTTATTGTCTTGGTAATCTGTTTTTTAAAAACAAAAATTTTTCTTAAATAAATTTTTTAATTGTTTATAATCGTAATTTCCCTGGGAACACGATGGTGCAATTATTTTTTTGCTACTTGCCGTAGTTTACGAGATATTTGCGAAAAACCTTATTTTTTACGGGTTTTTTGACCTTTTGACCCCTTGCCTGATCACCTAGGTCAAAAATGTTTGCGGATTCGGATTCCTGAGGGTCGAAAACATATTTGCGCCCAGGTTTGATCGACAGAGGAAAAAATGGAGGTTCAGCCTTCATTTCAATGGACTAAATACATACAGTAATATTATATATATATTTTATGCCTATACATATTATTCTCCAAACGCAATTAGTAGCAAGATTCTATATATTTTAGTAATTAAGCAGTGTTTTTAAGTTAATACGACTCGCCAAAGTAAAAAAATATTTCAGGTTAGGTATATATTTTTTTACTGAAAATAGCAGTTAATTTACATTATCGGATTGTTAATGTGAAAATATAAACATTAGACTGTTGACTATTCCATGTTATACGTGTTTTAAGGTCACTTTTGAAGAAGAAACTACATGTAATTTTAAAAACCGTATTTCTGTTTTTATAATGAAGGAATAGTAATTATAAGATTGTTTAAGCTTATTAACTAAAAATTATTGCCTACTCAATAAAAAAATATTATTGTCCTCGATAATCTATTACTGATTAATAAAATATTTACTCTCTTTCCTTATAAGATTGTATGTACACAAATTGGAGCCGTTCCTGAAAAATCGGACGAATATCCGGTGCAGCGGAATTATTAGACTTGAAGCGTTGGCCGCTAGAACAGCACCTGCCGGGGTCCCGTTTCGTGACTCACGCTGGGCGATATTTTTTGTACAAAATCCCGTCCTTAAAATAAAGGAAATGAATTCAAAGTTCCAAACGAGTAAAAAATTACCCCAAAATTCAAAAAGCCATGAACAAACACGACTGAATATTGTGTATAAATGTGAGCGGTCTAAATATTGTCCGCTTTGTATGATCTAAAATTACTCTCTATATTGTTTGTTATTTTTATCTCATTCTTTTTGTACAAATAAAATACAATCCTTTACACAGAATTCGTAGTCGTTATTGATAAATTATTCATATCACGTATTTACAATGTATCAGAGTAACAATTTACGTCACCGCAACCCATGAGGACAGTCGAGCAATTAAAAAAATATATTGTGAAATGACAAAAACCAAACAAAGTTCAATAATCCGTCAAGGCTGACATCACTCCCACTTACTTCGACCAATCACGAACTAGATTTCAGCATCGCGCAATAACATGTCGCGATTAAATAATCGAGAACCGAGAATGTGATAATAATGTTTTCCCGAAGGATATTTCAGTCGTAGTCATTACAGATTAGACATTTCATTTCGGCATTTTCTCGAGCCCGGATCGATGTTACTGAGACGCCCGGTATAGAGTAATGTCAATCTCATAAATCGACACGATCGAACGCGGAAGGAATCAGTGACAGAGTGATTAGATCTATGCGAAGTTATTTACCGCCAAAATGCCATCTCCGGAACTGATAATCGAATCGAGGGATCCAATATATCCTCAATTCCTCAAATTATTTCATAACGACAAGCGTGTCAAGGCCGCAATGTAGAAATAGGACGATAAAAAGTGTCCGCCGATTGGGGCGAGTAAATTAGGATTATCTAATTGAAACCAGTCTGAAACAGACATGCATGGCCTCAAATCTATTTATAATTTTTTTAAATTACAGTTAGATTAAAACTTTATCGACAGTTATCCAACAGATGTGTGATTATATACGGTTTTTGACAATTTTTATTTAAATCTGCCATACGATTATAACGTTTCCTGTTTTTGCTGTCCGTTGACCTTACGAAAATCGCACCCAACTTAACGTTGCCAAATCGATTGGGCTTTCGAAACGGTTTTACCAAGGAAACGGCCATCCTTGGTCATAAACTCATGCCTCTTGCGGCCTGTAGTTGGATGTGACTCATGCGGATTCGTAAATGTGGCGAAATGGTATATCTTTGGATATCGAAAATGGCCTTGCTTTCATTTTAATATTTGTTTACGCTATAAATATCTAAGTCGGTTATTAAATAAACATGTTGATTTGTAACAATACTAAAAATAAACTCTCCATTACTAATTTCTTTGGAATTTACACACCTGTTGCTTGAAACAATCTCTCGCTGTGAGACCC